TCGAGATACGCGCAGCGAATATCTTCTATCATTTACTTCTCCATTATGCGTTCCTCCCGGAATCGTTCTACGTGTATCGCTCCTCCTTATACGCGAATAATCGCGCGAATTATCTTACGGTCTCTCGTTTGTTCGTTCTCGACGCGCGTTCATTTCCGTCGCTACATTCACCGTCGTTCAATATCTCAGGCAGCTTCTAATACGGCCCGTTGTTCGCCGTATACTTCCAAATTGCGCACGGGCGGCTAATAGGAATTTTGATTGACCAAATTAAATAGTTATCGAAGGAGACCCGCGTGTTTTTATTTGCCTCCTTTTTTCTCTCGTTCTAGCATCGATTAACTTTATTAGGAGCCCGCTCGTTTGTGGAACATTAAAGGTGGGATGGTATAGGAGGACAAAGAGAAAGAGAGGGTGGACGAGTCCTCTCGCGCGGGTTTGCGAGCGAATTGCGGGCGGACGATACTGGAATCGGGGGGTGGAGGGGGGAGGGTGCGTGGAGGAAGGGGCGGCAGGGAGGCCGAGTGGAGGAGGATGGGGTGAAAGGAAGTTCACCGAGGCAATTTGTTGTTAAGTCGGAACTCATTTTCTAGAACCCACACCCGACTAATGCCGCGACTGGGCCTGCAGGCCACCTCATTACCAGACCTAGTCAATTTCAATTTAATTTGCCAGTCGGCTGTTTCGCGGAAGGCAGGGTGTACGTGCGCGCGCGCGCGGGTGCGTGTGTGTGGGGGGGGGGGGGGGGGGGGGGGGGAGAGGCCGCGCGATTAATCATTATTATCTAGAAAAATTAAAGCGAGAGAATGTGTTTCGTCCGTTGTGTGTGCATATGCCCACCGCGCGCGTAACGCGGCAGATTTTGTGCTGCTCGTGCGGGAAGCTGTCCGGGCAGCTGTGTTTATTATGTCGCACAAAAATGCCCCGAGAAAAGATGACAACTTCCGCAATCTGTATAGCCTTGCAATTATATACCGCCGTGTATGACCGCGTAAAGAATAGATAATAATCGATAGATTCGACAATTGAAAATGATTATGTGTCAGAGATTCTGCGGCTATATATGGATCGCGGATAGTCGTGCTTGTGGTTTGCCGACGATCGTCAAGGAAGTTCGCGCGCTATAGGCGGCTAGACGCCTTGTTCAAGATGCAGAATGAAATTGAAGGCTCTCACAAACGCTCGAGTCCATTCCGCAGGCACCTGCAGTCCGAAATTTAGATTTTTAATCGCACAAAGCGCTAATGAATCCATTTAGTCTCGCGAGGGGTGGTGGAGGGGGAGGTGGAGGCGACCCACTCGACCCTCGCTCGATACAGGGATCTTGGATAAACGGACAAACGAACCAAATAATTACGCTAATTAAAGCCGCCCAATTTGTGCTTTAGACAATTAAAGTGCCGAGGGTAAGGTAGTCTAACTCATTAACAGGCGGGGGTCGCCTACACACACGCGGGCGCACTCTCCGTGTGTGAATACATCGTTTCGGAGTACGCGGGCACACCCGCACGTCCTTGTGTGTCTCCCTCTCTCTCTCTCTCTCTCTTATTCCCTCTTGTTAGCGGCAGAGTGTACGCGCCACTGTGTGCGGCAAAGGGGCACGCATAATGAGCGAGGGTGCCTGGGTGAGAGGGCAATCCGTAGGGTGGAGGGCGCACTTGCTCGCGAGAATCTTTTGAAATTGAGGGTCACGCTATATTTTGTAAGTTGTCGCGATATAATCGAGAGAATCATGGAGCACCGACAAATTCATGCTACAATCAAGCCCTATTAAGAGATCGAGGTTTACTATCAATTTTCATTTTCAAAACATGTTTTCATTTCGTAGATCGATTTTGATTAATTACTCGTCCCTCTCATCCAATTCTCGCATTACTGTTTCATTGTACAGAAAATGTATACGTACGCACACGTAAAACGCGCCTTTAGAGACGCTTGTTAGAGCGGGCAAGATTGACACGTTGGTCGCAATTAAAACGTAAGGGGGACCGCGTTCGCGCAAATTACGTATCAAGTTAGAGGAGTCGGACAAGGAGGGCGAGGCACTCGTATTATCATTGGTGAAATCAACTAATTAGAAATTGCGTAGACCGCTCGTTAAAGATCGCCCCGCCGACCGTAATCGCCAATTACTCTCTTAGTGCGGACTGCAGTGAACTTCGCTCATTAAAATTATTAAACGCCGCGGGCGACGGGGCTCGGCATTTGACGTTTCTACAGAGTGCGGCGCATTGTGGATCGCCGAATTTTTACCGATCCACCCGCGGCCGCGTAGAAGATTATAAGAAATATAAATTACAAATCGTAATTCCGTTTTTTTTTTTTTTTTTTTTTACGGCGCATATTCTTTAACGAGTCCGCGATTTTCCTCCGGAGATCATACATAATAGAACGTAAAATTGTTACGTACAGATAACAGGAAGTAATTAACTGTATTCAGAGTTAAAATATATTTAGCTGTAAATTTTTGCTACGTTTAAGTGTATATATACACGTATATACGGATTCCGCGCGAGCGAGATAAATCTTGGTGCGATCAATGTTTTATCAAAGATATATAGAGATTGTTATTAGTCGGCCATGCGCTGCGCGATAATATCGCATCATAACAGACGGTGTTCGTTGTCATTCATCACCGGAGCTGAACCGTTATTCGCTAGTTACTTTCGATCAATTACTCCACCAGCGGGGCACGAATGCCTCACATCAGCCTATTAGGATGGAATATTCGATATTTAATTTAATACAACCGTTCTGATTACGGCCAAGATCTATACAAATGTCAAAACGACAAAAATTCTACTGCACTAGCACTTTAATTAACCGCTCCGACTATCGCGTCTGCTGCGATCAATATAGTTGTCAAATACATCTAAACTGTTAATGAGCCCCAAGCAAGGGGCTCATTTCAAGTAAGGATAATTAAGTAAAATAACGAATAATTTGCGCGCTCTGTTTGACATTTTTTACGACTGTCATAAATAAGACTCACGGATAATCGAAAATTCTTGCTTGTCATCAGCTTTCCAGAATGGTCACGTAAAACACGCGTGAATAATGATACTGGTAATGGCGTCGGGCGATTAAGAGGCCAGAACGAGATAGAGAGAGAAAGAGAGAGAGAGAGGAGAGGAAGAGGAGAAAGGAGAAGCAGATTTTATGGCTGATCCTCGATCATCAGCTATATAATTCCTTCTATCCGTTCTAGCTGATTGACTTGGCCGTCGGCCTCTAATTAGCAATTATGGAGAAATCGAAAATGCGCTGAGCGATTCGACCAAGCGGGATGCATATACATATCTCCGCTTATTAAGTTCGCGAGGGATTCGGCCCGGAAGTAGATATACGATCGCGAATCGATATAAAGAGCGACTACAATTAAAATCTACCACTCTGATTCATTTACGAGATGCCTGAAACTTGCCGAGGAAACGTTACCCTTTGATTAGTATCTATCGTCCACGAGCGAGATGCGTCTTTATAATATCTTACGTAACGCGCAAAAGTTTTAATCAATGATTAATTGGTTTGTATAGGAAATACAATTGAATTAATAAATACGTCGGAATGTCGAGTAATAACAGTTTCTTGACGATTGTTTTTATTAGCATTTAAAATACAATTGGACAAAATGCGTCTCATGATCGATCACCGTATTTAATTAACGCGTGAAACACCGCGTGTATGACATCGCGCTTTCTCGAACCGCGTGTCGATTTACGCACGAGAAAGTAACAACGCGTTCGAGAGTCTAATACGTTACAAAATTTGCCCATTGCTATTTCCTTACTGCGAAAAGTAGGCGAAATCGTCCGAGCCGGGGCTCGTTTGCATCCGCATTTTGCAGCAGAAGAGAGAGAACGCGCATTTATAATTGAACCGTTGCGAACGATTGAAGACAAACCACAAAAAAATAAAAATAAAAAGGGAGGAAAGAAAAAACAAAAAGCAGGGAAAAATGAGAGAGGGAGAGAGAGAGAGAGAGAGAGAGAGAGAGAGAGGGAGAGAGAGAGAGAGAGAGAGAGAGAGAGAGAGAGAGAGAGAGAATAAAAAGGGAAAGATTGAAACGTCATTCGGGGGAGCAATCATCGAGATACTGGCCGCGCGATCAGCTGTGTGGATCCCGGGCAGATAAATTAGCAATTTAATTATAGAACTGTCAGCCGGTAATTAAATTAATAACGAGAAACCTCAAATCCAATCCGCTCCGTCGTCGTAACAGCCTTATGCGCGCTCTCGGAGTAAAGTCCGACGCAGACATCAATATGTCGACTACCTATATCGCGCGTTTCAAAAGTCGATTTAATTAAATATTCCATTAGCGTTAATTGCGAAGTTCGATTTTGACAGTAGCACGTATTCTGTAACTTTCTAGGGGAGGGGGGGGGAGGGGCAGGGGGGAACGAAGCTTTATGACTCGGGATAGATCATCGGGCCAACGAATCTTTTCCCGTTCGATGCAGAATTTTCAGGTTCCATCCTGGAGTTCCGCTGTTGAGGATAATGGCCCGAGTGTGCGTGTGCGACGTACGACGCGGTGCGTCGGATGCGAGCTCGGAGGAGCTTCTTACGTCGCCGTGCGTTGGAGAGAGAGAGGCGAGATCGTGGCGCTCACCTCGCGAATCCCCATTCGACATACCTACGTATCGTTACGTAGCTAATTGCTGCATAAACAGCCGAGTTTACGAGCCAACGAGTATATGGCTGACAACCGCTTCGCAAACATTAACTGCCATTAACGGAGGATACGAGCGCATCTCGTGTCGCATCGCGGCGTGGCACGCCGCGCTATTGGGACTCGATGTGTGCCGCGAACGAAATTGTTGAAAAAATAATTGTAGAGTAGACCCAACCGCCACACGATCAGACATCTGGCGCGGCTGTTTTCGGGAACACTTTCATCGTGATAAAATGCGTTTTCTTCGGGATATCGCGAATCATCAGTCGTGTCACGATCTTCAACCGAGTCTTAATTGAACGTCCTTTTGCTTTTGTCGTAGAATGTTCGGCAGCCCTGGCGTCTGCGGGAGTTGTGGCAGCGCGATACCCGCGAACGAACTGGTCATGAGGGCTGGCGACTCGGTGTTTCACTTGAAATGCTTCAACTGCAATAAGTGTGGAGGTCAACTCAACGCGGGCGACAGGTGAGTCTTCCGTTCATATGAATTTCTCCTTCTTCTTAGACTACAGTGGATGTGTGTTCCAACGAACATTTATTTTGACGAGAATTTTTTCCTTAACTATTCAGAGGAGAAACAGATGGTTCTAGTAAATACATATTCTTACGAAATATAATATGTAGTCTTGTGATCTAAAAGTTTAAAATTTTGAGAGCTTACACTGCTGTTTATATAATTGGGTTTTATCTTAAGATAGATTTAAGATATGCTAATAGAACTTTGAGATTGGCTTAGACATCTGATACGCTTTAAAATATAAGAACCGATTATAGGCAACATTCATAGTCGATTTTTCTATTTAAGATAAATCTTAAATACAATTTTAAGAGTCATAAACTAATCAAAGAGAAATAGAGATAAGAGACGCAATTAGTAAAAATATTGCTTAAGACTATCTTAAAATAGAAACGAACTTTGAATACCTGTTTCTTCCATTACTGTAGTTAAATTTTAGGGACTTATTTTTTATCTTTTCCTAAGATTAGGACTATTCCGAATGTCCTCTCCAAGGAAGATTTTATTCTCTATATAATATATGTTATGTGTACTGTATATTTCGAGTAAAATTTTCCTCTGATAGAAAATATTTTGGAATGTAGAAAAAGATAAAGAATACATTAAACCGAGATTAAAATTAGTCTACATTGGTAGAAATGGAAGGATTAATGTCGTAACTACACAAGATGAATGACATTGGTGATTTATACTTTTTAAATAGTTTATTATTAAAAATTTTATATATTTGTACGTAAAAGAATTGTATATGTGCATAAAATGTTTGCTTCAAGAGAATGAAATGGAGAATATTATTTTTTGATTAAATTTCTTCTACTTTCTTATGAGATATGTCCGCGGTTATAAGCTTTTTCCCTTATATCCCAGACTTCTATTTTCGAATATTAAACCGATTAGTTTCAATATCCATCTCAGCACAAGTCACATGAATTCGGACGAAGAAATAAACTGTCGTTTAAACGACAAATTTATTCTGACGATGCAATATAATCACTCTTACATACGAAAACGTAATCGTCTGAAGAAAAAGTTCGTCAGAACGCACGCATCCACTGTATCCGTGTTAATCCTTATACTTTCGGACTGGCGAGAAAGCCTTTACATGACATCTCACGATTTCAGATATTACCTACTATCCGGCTCGCCGGTTTGCGAATCTGACTGGCATAAGATTGTGAAATCGTCGAGCGTCGCGGCAGCGGCAGCCGCGGCGGGCGGAAACAGCGGCGCACCCGTTAGGAAAGGTAAGGTCGGCAGGCCTCGAAGGAGCCGCGAATGAGGCGGCAACCCGGTCGGTCGCCCGAAGAAGGTGCAACCCTCTCCGCAGCCGACGCCCCCCGTCGTACCTTCGCCTCAGGTAGATGTAGTGGACGTCGCCGTCGGGGTGGACCCCTATTCGCCGCCTCCGCCGGGTCATCAGCACTATCATCAGTATCACCATCATCACCATCACCAGATGGCACTCGTGCATCCGGGTCTGGCCGCTCAGCAATCGCATCTCCAGGCGTCCGGGTATCAGGACTGGTCGTCCTGGGCTCAGGATACCTGCGATTAGATCCGCTGTTCGTCCGTAACAGGACTGTACCCCAAAGGATGAAGAATGAGCCTAACGTTGCGAGCCCAAACTCTTCAAGAGAATCGCAAAGCGAGGAAAAGGCCACAGCGTAGTGTCCCTTGGAAACCGTCATCGGTGATTCTACGAGTGTCTCTGGACTTGGAACCGTGATACTGAATGTGTTTGAACTTAGCCGCGGTAATCGAATGTCTTCGTACATGTATGGTGCCGTGATGTTGAACGTTTGAACGAAATTGAACTCGCCGCGGATATTGAGCGTCTTTATGTTCTGTCGTGTGTTGACATGTCGAGTGCGTCCAAACTTTACGTGGATGCTGGGAGTCTCTCTGAACGTCTTTGAACTTGGATAATTCGGAATCGCAAATATCTTTAGAACTTGAAACGCGAATGTTTTGGTTCTACAGTGGATGGTGCGAACTTCTTTGAGCCAAACTGACAAAGTGACAAACTCTTTTCAAGAAGGGTTTGTTTTGCACTAATGTTAAGATATCGGAAACAATTTTAAGTTAATCCAGCCATTTGGACACTACCTTTACACAAGACAGCGTCCAAGCTTTCAATCGGAAATCGTTGATAGCATCTGCTTCAAGTTGAGACGACACTCGACACCGCATTTCAGAAGCACTTTCGCCACGAATCCGCCGGTTTTCTTAATAATAATCTTTGCTCAATTGTAAAGAATCGAAGAAAGTTTAAGATACGACCCATCGTGCATCTACCATCAGCCGCAATAGTATGACGTCAGTACTTCTTTAAAATCCTTTGCAGTCATTGTGATTACCTTGACACAAGATGCGCAATGTAGAATTCGTTGACACCAACACACAACAAGCAATTTTTCGCACGTTTACGAAATATCGAAATAATTCTTTCCGTCGGTATTGACGGAATTTTCAAAGTCATTGCTAAATCATTCTGACGTTAAAAGTCCTCATGTTACTTTATATTGTATGATTAAGATTATCTCAATTCTCGTTACGGCTTAGTCTAAATTTTCAAATTGAGAAATTGTATTTTTCCGCGAGCGCGCTCTGTCGGTTCTTGGTTGTTGCCACTTCGGAGACAACACGCGTCCTTGGAACGGTGTTGCGTGCAAAATTCGACATGTGCGAAGATCTAATCGCGCGAGAAAGACGACAATCGGAAGGGGAGGGAAAGAGAGATAATTCGACGGCGATCGAACGTGAGAAACGCGAAACGACGGCAGCGCACATCTCTGGACCCTTAGAAAATTATTTTTCTTTCAAAATCACCGTTCTCCCGTCGATCCGCTGCCGCGCTTCGTAAACTCATTAGGCGGCCCTTGTTCCCGCCATCGTTAATTGAGTGCCGAGGTGAGACGAACGACACGGAATTATCATTCGAATCCTTCTTGTTAAGCATCCTCTCCCCTTTTTCATTCTCTCTCTCCCTTTCCTCTCTCCATTTTACTTGCATTTTTGCGTTCTCTCTGTTTTTCTTTCTTGAGAATTCATTTTCGAAATAGTATAATCAATTAACCCCTTCTGGGATGTCACTTCGAAGGCAACCTGTAAATGACTCAATCTTACTGGTGATTGAGGGATTTTTGGAATTTTGTAATTTGATCGCTGATGATTATCTCCAAAGAGAATCGAAACGTTCGATGATGTAATCTTCCTTTATTAAAGCGATAAAAGTTTTTATCCTATAATTCATGTGCATTTTTAACCGCGCTGTACTTTCATTAGCATTATTTTTGCCTTATCATTGATATCAATTAAGTCTCTCGCATACAAGACAAAATCCTTTCGCTGCAGCTATGTCGACACAATCGAATCAAATTTTATCGTAATCACAATTACGTTACAAAGTTTCATCTAGCGCAGAAGTAATCGATGTCGTTCTCGAGAAGAGAATACAGCTCAATTATTCCTCTCCCCTCTCTCTCTCTCTCTCTCTCTCTCTCTCTCTCTCTCTCTCTCTCTCTCTCTCTCTATTAGCGAAATCTACATTATGCATTTATTGTTAAAGTGAATCAACAGGGTTGTCTAAAGAAACACGTTTGCCAGTAACACACAACGTTACAATAAGTCTAACTTTCTATCGAAAGAGCGTCGTCGATCCTTCGTCGAGATTTGACTTAACGATTCCTTTTCGTCGCGGTTCTTAAATACTCGATATTCGCCCGTCGAGCACTTTGAAGAGTAAACGCGTGCTACTGGCACGCGAACTGGCATCCGTTGCGCATACCTATATACGGTTAGTGACAAAACTCGCGGCGAGCAAGAAATGACATTGGCATTGTTGCAACGGCGTGCTCGAAGCTCAAAGTACAACGGATTCAGAGGCGGAATGAGTTTCGGCGCGAAATGTGTATCATAAGAGCAAAGTCGCCCTGTTGCTCGTTTCATTCGTCAAATACTCTCATTTCAAATGACGATTCTCGCGCGCGCATTGCCACAATCTCCGATTGAGCGTCGCTCGCACTTAGAAAGCTCGCACCGTTGTGTCGTGATTCGTATACGCGAGCGAAATGCTTACGGGTCATAACGATCCAACGGTTCGCCGTTAGAGAATCGCGAATCTGACACGCCGGATTGCGGGAACAATCGCTAGTCGACGCCGCCAAGGATCGAAGTCGATTTCACGACTCTGCAGGCGACGACGCGCCGACGGAGACGGTGAGAAGCGGCATATGCAGAAGTGTACATGTAGATTGGGCAAGAAGTCGCGCTGAAAAGATTATGTCAAGGATGCACAAACTCTTTCGGCTCGGATAAAAGACAATGGCGCTTGTCACAGATCGATCAAACGCTTCGATCACAGACGCACGTACAACTTCCAAACAAAAAAAAATTACTCTCTAAATTTTTTGAAGTAGATTCTACTCCAAGAAATTTAAATTGTACATTACTCGGATATATAAATTAGCAGAAATTTGTGTAAATTGTACTGAGAGATATTTATACGAATCGGACTAAACTTGTATATTCGAACATGTAATCGGGGAACAAATTTATTCAACTGATTTTTGTTTCTTTTCGTTGGCACGTGCGCGTGTCGGACTGGGGTTTGTGCATCGTTGAATTGTGTAATTTAATCTTGTACATAGGGTACATTTTGTATATTGTTAAAAGTTTGTGTGATATAAATGGTTATGTATTTACTATCGAGCGCGAACGGCGAACGGGGCATCCGCGCGTTTATCCCACGGACGATCGGCCGATATACGCGACGTGCCATGGTTTTCCGTGGTCCTGCATCGTCGAGTGCGGTAACGTCGACGACGGAATACATTACTTACGAAACGTCGGTTTCGCATCGATCCGAAGTTTCGCTCGGCGCCAATAAGTCGAATTGTCCCGTCTCGAATGTACATAACGTTAAATTTGGCATCGTCTGATTTTTTTTTTATCTCTCCTTCATTTATTCGTTCATTTAACATTTCGTTATTGCACGCGATCTCGCGAAGTCGTTGAAACGCGGCGATTGCGCTAAAGTCTAATTTACAATATGCTCCTTCCTCTTCGATTCTCGCTTTTTACCACTCTGTTCACTTCTTGTCTCTTGTCCAATTTCTTTGTTTTCTGAGATGAGCGTTGATGAACTTCGGAAGAGACAAGAAAAGAAGGGAAAAGGCGCGAGATAAGTAGGCGAAAATCACGCTTTTTCGGAAGCAAGGAACACATTGTATGGATTAGACTTAAGTATAGATTCGCTGTTCCGAGTGACGTGGCGAGAAGCAACGTTGAAGGACAATACGCGTATACCGAAGCGCGTGATCTCGTCACGGGATCTCGGTCGTGAATGAAATTGCGACGCGGCGCGTGCTGCGTACCGCACCCGGCAACGCACTCGACGGACCCGGAAGCGATCGGCGCGAGGAGAGAGCACGGAAAGTCCCTCCGCCCCATCCCGCCCGGCAGAATGGCACGCGTGCGGACCGCGACCCCGGTCCCGCGCGCGCGTCTATAGTTAATTTTGTTATTTCATTAATCTCGGACTCTTCGTAATCGGGACCCGACATCTGTATGTGGTTTCGCGGCCTCTTGTAAAATACAATTACACCCACATGGAACACACACGCGCATACACACAATCGTACGCGAACACGATTTATTAATTAATAAAAATCACAAGTTTTTAGAAAACGGGGAAATCCCCACCCGTTGTCATTGATTTCCCCAATCCCATCGTAATCCCGCGATTCTCTTTCAGGACTACTACTACTACTACTACTACTGCGTGTTCAACAAAGTCGCGGTGGTGTGCGACGATGGCGTATCGAACAGACGGAGCAGACGCAACGTTAAAATTCCCATTACAATCGTGAGGGTAAGAAGAGAAGAGGAGAGTACGCGGTTAATTTGGTTAGCATTAAACGGAAGGGGAAATCGATCACGAAACCATTCCTTACCGCCCGCTCCCAAGTGGCTGAATTAATTCGAATGATTCGAATGTTTCGTTTCGGCGCGAGGCCGGTTTTCAGCCGACTCTCCGCAGAGCGATGAGAGACCCGACATTCTCCAGTCGGATAGGTATTTAACGGACGTACACGTGTCCGACCATATTGCGTTTGTGTCGTTCGATAAATAGGTGGCTAAGCAACTCCAACGGAAACCCGTGTTAATTAACGTTGAGTTTCAGGACTGATTTACGTGGCGTCTAATTAGCGGGCCTGCCGGCGACGTAGTAGGCATTTTGATTGGCCGCTCCGCGAATAGAACGCGGTCCGATTGGCCTTGCCGGCGTGTCGTATCGATTGTTTTCGTTTCTTCTCCTCCTCCTCTTTCTCCACTGCTCGTCCCATGCTTCTCTTTTTGTTTCTTCTTAAAAACAAAAGCCGAATAGATGCGCCAAAGCGCGCTCCCGAAACGAGAAATGGAGAAATGCTTCCGCAGACCGCAATGCAACGACCGATCACGAACGGTGAATCATGAGGCAATGTCCATAGTCCGTTCTTATTTCAAGACACTATGAAATTAGTGTCTTAAAACGCTAATACAATTCTCTGATTGGTACATGACATCTTACACAGTAAAATATATTTTAGATTTGTGTTTAAAAAAGTCCACTCGAGTTCTTATCGCAAAATTTTGTGTCGAATTTTTAGTATACTTGAGTGTTAATTTAACGTAATACTTTATTTGAATATTTTATGTTAAATTGATATTCAACATTTTTTAGCGTTACAGCAACAATTTTTTAAGTAAATAAACAAAGAACAAAAGTAACGTTTTTAAAACGAAAATTCGAAGATAAATGACTAAGATAATTAAAAAGTATTAAGTTGACGTGTATTAAAAAATTAATTTAATTTTTTAACGAAGAAATATGACTGCCTACGAATTGTGTCAGTGTTACATTTTTTGTGTTAATTTGTTACATAATATTTATGTTACTTTCTAACATATTCATCTTGTGTTCAATTAACACAGAAATTTTATGCATCATTTGGGACATGTGAAATGCGTTAAATTTAACACAAATTTTCCACAATTCTGGGTAAGATTGTATTACTAAATGTAAGTCGACTGTAAATACTGGCCATCGTGAATCTCGTTTTTAATAGAAAAACATGAAAAAATAAAGAAAAAGCGCCTGGATGATTCATTTTTTTGCAACTTTCAAAGGTTTCGATTTTTTTCGTTAATCCGGATCGTAACTTTTTTTCCGTAACCGACAAGCATAACCGCAAGACGGTTCGTTACGTGAAAGTGAAAGAGAGGGAAACCTCTCCTCGCTAATTAAACCGCTCGCGTTACGTCCTAATCTTTTATTTGCCGGTCGTCTTGCAAGCGTATCAATTAAATCCGAGGTCAAACGGGCGCGGTTACCAGCGTGCATCACGTGCGCAGTTGTACACGCGTCTGTTAATTATATGAGCGTGTCACTGACGTAATCCGTGTAGAGGTTCTTTCGGTGCTTATTTTTCTGCTCCTCCTGTGGATCGAGTCGCGCGCGCGATTATCGCGGGAACGTTAACGAGACCTTTCGCGACGCGGCGAGAAAAATTCGTATAGCTGCTAATTCCGATGCTGAAAACAACAATGGGGACGATACAACTTACAATCGCGATCTTGAATACGATCGCGAGGGCGACGCGATGCATTTTGAAACGTCAAGCGTGTGCAGTTTCTTGAAGTTTTGCGGCAATTAACAGTCGACGGCGAATAACAAACTGAATTTAATTAATTGCATAACTGCGAGCGGAGGCGGTCCCCACCGTCTGCCCCTTGCCCCTTTTCTCCGGTACCGCCACCCAACCCCTACACACTTCTAATCGAAGCGGGGTACATATTGTTGCACCCGTTGCGCTCTACCCCTCATCATCCCCACCGGCAATTAATTATAGCATTCCAGGTTAGCCCGGGAATTAATTACGTCCAGAAGTTGGACGCTGGCGAGGGGATCGTTAGAAATCGTCCTTCGTTAGAGTTAGGTGGGCACGGGTCCAGGTAATTATTGATGGCCTCCTATCAGCTCGCTCATTGTGCCGATAACGACGCGCGAATCGAATTTAAGGGACCCGGGCAAGAAAAGATCACACTTCGGATTTTTTTTCAGGCAACTCGTATAACAAATGTTGCAATATATGCAAGCGTTCTCCTGGGATTAATTTCTTTATCTTACTCGAGCCATAGAAAAACTAACAATAAAATGTAAGCGGTAACCGAATTGACCAATCACTTCCTTTGAACATCCTTATAGGACATTTCTTGGAGAATTGTGTTGTGTTTTTGTATTTCTGAACTGTGTACTTCCATTGAAGACGCTTCTTCACCGTTTGTGTCTTACTGCTCACGTTTTCCGATGTGCCACCCTGCGGCTTTGTCAACAAGATCGCGAGCTAGGGCTTTATTCGTTCGAGACAATTTTCTGAATCTCAAAACGCGAAAGGAAGATCAGCGAATAAAGCGCGACCGAGGCGATTAACCGCACTTCTACGCAGCGAATAAACAAAGCGTAATCTGTGTGCTTCACTAGACGTCTCCGTTGATGATGACGCGGACCACTTGTTCATCTACTCCTTAATCCCTTCTGCTTGTTAACATCGCGCTGTGCTCTCCGCTTGCGGAATATTGCCGGGGAGAGACAAAAAGGGGATCGTTAGCGCTTGCGGCTGTGAAATACGGGCATACGTGTTTCGAGCGGAGCGTGAGCCCCGTGGGTATTTCGGATAGCATCCAACTTTCAATTCGACGTATAGTTTTTTTTTCAAAATCTGCATTACACCGTCCTCTCTGTAATCGGGAAACGAATAAAGGATCATTTCACCGTTAACGTGTCGTGGTCCTAAGATTCTTTCGAGGCATCCGCATCGTGCGAAATCGCCGATAATGAGCCGTATTCGCGAGAGAGAGCAACAGGTTTAAAGAATAGATTAATTTATAGACCGCAGTCCCGTCGGTTAAACGTGTTAATGAGGGCGAGCGACGTGATGTCACGTCATTACATGACGACGTTACGCGAGTTGTACAAGAGCGTCAAATTTCTTTCTCGGTACAGACACATCGCCGCGCGTGACGGACGGCGGGGTGAAAAAAAATAAAGCGAAGAAGGAAAGTAGGGGGGAAAGAGAGAAAGAGAGAGAGAGAGAGAGAGAGAGAGAAGGATCCCGCGCGCGCGGTGAGACAGACGAGGGGTTGCGCGCGCGAGGGTGGATCGGTTGACACACTGGCGAGGCAATTATTATTGTGAGTGGTTGGCGACGGGACTCCGATGATATTTTATTTAAGAAACAATCGGGTAATAGCTCGCTTCAAGAGGATAGATAACGCCGCGAGCGCGGAGCCAGCCGGAGAGGCCGCAACCGGGGGAGGGGGGGAGAGGAGGAGGGGTCGGACGGGCGGGAGGCAGAAAGATGAGGGGAGGCAAAAGGTGAACTTTGAGACGGGCTTGGTATATCGGGGTAAGCTCTACATTAGCGAATTACCCGTGCGCTCGCGCGCTCTCGCGCGGGTCCCTCGGCGCGCGGTGAACGATATAAATATACCAGAGTAATTCGGAAATATTGTTCGAAAGGATTCTGTAAAAAATTTGTAAAGGAAACCGGTGCACTGCCCCGGCCCTGCGCTGCCCTCAGCGAAATATATCTAATTAAGTTTGGCGCGGCTAAATTTGTAGGTCTCGCGCGTGGCGCACTTTTGGGAGAATCGGTTTTTTCGAATTTCTGATCGCGTTCAAGGACAAGACGGAAAAGAGTCTCAAAGGGGTTACTGAAAACGCATAACAAGATCGCGACAGATTACAATAAATCGCTATTTATTTTATTCTTTCTGTACTCACGTGAATGAGATTACGGCGTTTGAGATTACGAGTCCGAGGGCTTGCGAGTGGAATCCACGAGTTCGAAATCCATGCGATGCGTGATTGTGCTTGCAACGCCCTCGTTGGGAACGCTGATCGGAACTAATCGTGATTTATTTCTGAGAAAAGTGAACGGTGGCGTCATCTAACAGTGGACAAGTATAGTTATCGAATTTACGTCACTTTGCGCTTTATTGGTAATTCTAACCTGCGATGGAATCTTTCCGAACGGCTTTTCGGAAGGAGTATATTTGGTCTGATCAAAGCGCGAAGGTGAAAAAATAATGCGACACTATATACAGGTACGTAATCAAGAAGATGGGCAAAGTAATATTTGAACAAGGTAAAAATAGCAAGGCTCACATAATTTCATGGAGAAAGGTTAAAGGTTATATTTATCACCCAGTGGAATATAATGTAAGAACTGGGTCGAGGAAAAATGTCGAACGCGATGCCGGGATTCGAACCGAGGCCTTGTAGTAGTAGTTCGTGTTAGCAAGTCGCCGTATATTGCCGCGGAGCCCACACAGCAGACAGGAGAATCTAGCGTATTTCTTACAATAACATGACATAACAAAGCCCTCCCTCCCCCCCTTATAAGTGGAAAAGTATCCAAGAAATTTTTCCTGCGGATATGATGGACGGTAGCCACTGTATGCATTTTATTGAGCGTAAGAAACGATTTTGTCGCATGACGGTGCGAAAAGGATGTCAATACTGCGGCGAGCATCAACAGGACGTCACGGGGAACGAGAGAGTGCCATGTCCGTTGGATCCCACACAGCAAGTATTCATTAAATTCGTTGTATTCTAACGCAAGATGATCTAGCGCGATATCAGGATATTTGTCTTCTTCCAGCACGTGCTACAAATCCAAGCTGACAAAGCACTTGAGCGTGTGCAACTTCAAGCAGAGGCTGGACATGCAGCCCGCGTTCGTTATCGAAGGAACAAACTTGGATAATGAGACTATTGCGGCGCCGCCGCGCGTGCCGCTGTCGCAGCTGGACGAATCCGTCGTAGGAATGGTGATAAGGAAGATTCATGCTGCCTACGGTACGATTAAATCATCTACATTCAGGCCTCAGAGCGATGTAACAATTTACATTTACATGTATATCAAAGTAAAGTATATAAACTGTTTTAAGTATCAGCTATGTAAACAGTTTATGACGAAGAACAATTTGTGTTCTCTGTTGACATTAACTTTCATCTCGTTTATATATTTTCATTTATCAATATTATAATCAGCTATATTAACAGTCGCAAAATTTAATTCTTTTAATAATAATTTGTATGTTTTACACATTTCTCATATTATTTAAATGTAGAGAATTCATGTGAACTTAACGTAAACAGTACAAAAATATTTTATGTAAACGTAATTTTTTTTAAATATATGTCACACTGTCGAGAATAATTTGATTTAATTAGAAAATGAATTCCTTTTTCATTTTTACTATATATGTTGTATCTCGTTTAGATGAGCTACCAGAGTTTTCCCAGGCGATTCTGAGACACAATGTGCTCGAAGACAAATTAAATGATGAAACCAGTGGCAGTAAAGTTAGAAAGCACTTGCTCCAAACTGCATCTTTGCTAGGGCATCTGGAGCAAGCTGGTCTTGTGCAAGATGATACTTGTTTCATTGAATTTGGAGCTGGAAAAGGTATATTTCGGTTGTAATGAAAATTCTCGGGTTCTCTTGAATTTTTTATTTTGATAAAAAAATTTCGTTTCTGTCTGTCGAACAATTCATTACTATTTTAAGTGAGTTACGTTGTACAATGTACTAAATAAAGCCGTACTTTAAACAGCTCGGTTAACATATTGGTTGGGGCAGATTATAAAGGACAAGTCCAACTCTTGCATCTTATTAGTCGATCGTTCTAGTCATCGGCACAAAAGCGACAATAAGCTTAAGAAAGAGGAAAGACGCCTCACAGTGACAAGGATACGCGCTGATATCGCTGATCTGCAGCTGAATCAAATCTCGGAGATCCAGCCGATCAAGTACAAGGTCGGCATAGCAAAGCATCTCTGTGGAACGGCCACTGGTACACTCATTTTTGTCGTTATATATGTTCCATTTTTGTCTTATATTACAATCGACAACGTATTTCAGACTTGGCGATACGTTGCTTGGTAAAGTCGATGAACAGCGAACCTAAGATCGATGTATGCGGTCTAATCGTTGCATTTTGTTGTCATCATAAATGCGAGTACTCGTCGTACGTGGGCAGGAAGTATTTGCAACAATGTGGTTTTACCGTGGACGAATTTTCTATTCTATGCAGCATAGTCAGTTGGGCGACTTGTGGCTGTCGTTCAAAGAGCGACGTTAATTCGTCAAGTGATGCCACATCAGAGACTGTCAACGGATTTTCGAAATCAGACGAACGCGAAGTTATCGGGCGCAAAGCTAAAGCACTATTGAATTGGGGTCGTTTGGTCTTTTTGGAGAGCGTTGGATTTCAGGCTGAGCTACTTTACTACACTTCCACCGACGTCTCGTTAGAAAATATGTGCATTGTAGCTACTCGAGAACATTCGTCGTAATTGCAATATGTTGTTGAATTTACTGTTAACTTGTACGTTGTCTTAAAAATCAGTCTCATTTTTTTATAATAAATTACATATTTACATAAATTTGAATCTTGTTCAATGTGTCGATAACGCGGAGGTTGGCTGTTACCGTTTGTCGATTACCGCTGTTTTTATTTTCCATCTCAGTCGGTACGGTCGATTTTCGACTTACCGACACGTTTAATTGAATGACGGGTTGAAGTAGTACGCAAGTCACAAATACTCTCCCCCACTGAACGAGATGCCCCGCCCAATACGAGTGATCTAACACCGTTCAAACATTCCAGAGTACGTTCGATGTGGAGTTGTTTCAACCACTTGCTCGTTTTCTCGTCGCCCAGCTTCCAGGGTACCCCGCTTTACCGCCAAGTGAGATTGGTATCGACGGCACGTAGAGAGGAGAAAAAAAAAGAAGGAACCGCCATTGAGGTATGCATAATCGTGAATAGGACGCGCGTGACCCGTTGAATTTATACGTAAGCACGTACAGTACACACACCTTCTTTTGACCTACATCAGTATCTATTTTTACCTGCCTGCGCGTATACTTGTGCGTAGTAAAGATTGCCGATAACGATTCATCAATCGGTGTGTACGCGAGGTTGACAAAGTTGTGTATACACATCCTATGTAGCACGCCGCGCCGAGCCACGCCACGCCACGCCTGATAGCTTGCGACATTCTTACACACTGCACTTACAGAACTTCTCTCTTTCCTTTTTTTTTCAGAAAATAAGCGAGTAACGTGGCCGTTAACATTGTGACATGTCTATTCTAGACGACCGCGAAGAATACTTGAAGAATCCGTATTTTAAGGAACATTTGTACGGCGACTTCACTCCGTTCTATGTCACGATCGCTCTCTGCACCGTCCTGGGCGTATTCCTGTTTGTTTTGAACATCGTGTTCTGTTGGTGCTCGCGACACCGTGAATATTGGCAGGACCGCAATTCCGGTGAGTTAAATACTCGTCCAGTCTGTACGTAAGACCACCTCACGTAGTTTCTTTTTACGGGCGCGCGCGACTTATACAGTTTCTCTTATTTTTTAATAGCGTATTGTCCTGTTGGGGTTTAGGCAATAGGTGGATCCAGCCTCTATGGACTGTATTACCGCATAAAACACCGCCGCTTGATCTCAGCGAGTTAGAGCCTGGTCGCATCAAGTATCCTCAAGTGAGGCACGAGATTGTCCATTATCACGATCCGGAGTCTCAGGATACCACGCCGCAGCCGCAGGAGTACATGGAAATGCACAAACGCGAGAGTGAGATCTAAAGTAGCTGGCAGCATCAACCAGAGCAGTGTTGGAAAGTGGTAGTAACACTCACGCTTAAGAATACGTTCAAAGTCAAAGAGTTTAATTGGATCCAATAGAGTCTAATTAACCCTCTGCAACCAGTTAATTGCATTGTGAAGCCTCTGACTTGGCTACTGTACACTGAAACTTTTACCATCAACATTGTTCCCATAGATATATATTGACCTGCTTTTACATATATTAAAAGAATTATTTTATATTTTTTTATAAAATCAATTATATAATTTAAAAATTGAAACACCAGAGCGACTTGCTTCGCGAGTTCAATAATTGCACACGGCACTAGTTGCAAATAGACTATCTCAGGCAGCATAAGAATATCTTATCATGGGCTTGCACGTTTTCTGGCCAGCTACGGCCTGCCTGACTCTCTTTGTAGTTTGCATTATAATCGTGATGTTGAAGTACGGCACACGTCTTTGCAAATTACGACACGAGCCGTTGCCATCCGACCAAGAATGGGAAGGCAAAGCCTATTCCAGAAAACTATCCGCCTCCATTTAATGAAAATATCACTATCTCGAAAATATACTCAAATCGCACAGCTTTTTCATTTAAAAAATATATAAATGAAACTGCCGATTGGTATCTTTATTGGCGTAAATTAAACGTAAATAACTATTTTTAACTGCTTTTTCTATGACACGTTTTGTATGTAGACACAATATTGCATCTACACAATATTGGTCATGTAAGTTAAATGACTTGACATCCGTCCATTTACTATGTATTTGTACTAATATATTTTTTATTAATATAAACTCGTCTCTTTCGAAAATTAGTGCAATTCCTAAGGAATTTGAATAAAATAGAATTATATCTAAATTAGAGCAAGCGTTGAAAGAGAATTTTATATGTCCGTCCACATATCTCTTTGATTTTATTAAATGTATTATTGTTCGAATAATTTTAATATCGATAATTGAGCACATTTTTTGTAATTTTTATATCGATACATTTTACGAATAAAACACATACCATGAAAATCTCGAAGATTCTTTTACAAAATTATGCAAACCCCGATCGACGCAATATCAACGAATTACACCGTGTATATATAATATTTTACTTTTATTGACAACATTGGATTTTTGTTACATGTGTAATGGTTACACAATTATTTCAATAAGTAAGTAGATGCATTATACAATTTTTATAGTAGTTTGTAAAGAAAATTACCAGTTTCATCGAGCTACAGTACATCCAAAATTCAGGAGCTATTCTAAGCTATACGATCTGAATGACGAAACTGTCGATGATGAAGCAACCGCGCAATCAGCGATTTATACAAATAACATTCAACAATTATTTATTTAAATCGTTGAGCGGCAGTTATCGATTCGTGTAACAAATTGACATCTTTGGAAAATGTACAATCGAATTTGTTTAATCTTAACGAAATACGTAGAAAATTTTTAACGATTTGTTATTACCAATGAAAATGGGCAAAGCAGCCTATTACAATTTCTATAGTTGCACTAACGAGATTAAACCATCAACAAGATCGACGATTATGAAACTCAACGGTCCGTAATTAGAAGGATGATTTGTATGTCTCTAATTATTTTAATTCTAACGAATAAAGTTTTGAACGATTCTCTTATTATAATATCTAGAATATCTATGATTTATATATATTCCGTAGGTAGGAGATGCAGTGCACGCAGATAGCAAAAGATGGTCCCGGAAGGAACTATCGAGAGGGATTTTCCAGAGCAGAATTAATTAAAGACGGAAATGAAAATTGTACTGTAATCTTTCTTGACAATATCGGAGCGCAGGTTTTGCCGATTTGCATTCAGAATTTCATTCACGACTTGTGAAAAACTTGGACAGTCAGGGAGAGAAATCCGCTTCAAAGTTTCTCCAAAGGAACACGGACATTTGCTATCGACGTACGCATTTTCCATGAAACATCCTGTAGTTTTATCGAAGGATCTGAAAAATTAGTCTCTAAGTTTACTGATGTGTCTTTCTATCATGCTATGTTACAATGCGATTAAAACATGGAGAGCTTTCTGCGAGCTCCACACAGAGAAGTCAAGCACAAGACTCGTTACATCTATCTTACATTGCCGAGATAACTGCGCATGACCCGCATTCGGATGTTTCAGAATTCGCAATCCTGCATCACGATTGTTAAGAGCGTAAGATTCCTATGAAAACTAAGAGGCATGCAAAAACTCGCGCATTTCATAAAAAGTGTAGCGCTTTTATAGAGGATCTCTCTTTGTTGAGAGGAAAAGCGCGCGAGTGATCTCCGTAGATCGCGCGTGCAATTAACACGCATTGTAAAATAGATATAACGTTCGTAGGAGACACACATTGAATGCTTTCGCACGTAACGAGTCCGCTTCCGTGGTGTGTCCCTGCGATACGGACTGGTCTCAGTGCGGAACACAGCTTCGACAATTCGAGGTGGAGGGAACGACGAATGTGTCCGGTCGAGCCGAATTCACCGAATGGAGGATCAGTGGGGAGGACAGTAATTAGCGAAGAGTCCATAAAACGGAGATAACGCTATCCTAGTTTATCAATAAGATTCGCTTCACGCGTAATGATGATATGCTGTAATACGGGAGCTAGAACTAGGCGCTTGATGATGACGCGCGCGCGATTCCGCGCGTACGGCGTCCACAGGGTTCTTGTTAGATGAAGGTCCTGGAGGTCCTCGGAATCCGACGCGTGGAAGAAGTCGCCATTAATCTCGACGTTCGTTCGACTTTCGGAGCTGAAGGACCGACGAGCCTTCATCGCGTGTATCGGAGATATAGATGGAGATTAGGAAGAGATACCTTCAAAATATTTTTTTTGTATGTGAAAAACACTCTCTCCCCGGATCTCACCTACCCCTATATGCATTCTTCTTGCGAGACATTTCCGCACGGCGCGACCGCACTCGCGTGTTATATCAAACGCGCGAACAGCTTAAACTTCCTGTCGACGAGCCCTCCGGTTATACATCTAGACTTAAAAACGAATTACAATCTTGTGTATGCAGGGAGGAGGGATTTGATTTTTGTAACGTCAAAAAGATATCCAGTGATCTATCTCTCTTTTTCTCTTTTACTCTCTTTCGTGCACGCGCGAGCGTGCATGTTTGACGAGACGACGAGTTATTTCAGTTTGATTTTCATGCTCATTGGCGAGTTTCCACATATTTGCCAGTTATCACTTGATACAATATTATTATAACGTTAATTGCGAATATTAACATCGGAAGTGACAACGTCCTGCCGAGAGGAGCGCGGAGGATTCCGAATAAATTCATTAGGCTCGCGCGAACATTCTGTGCTAAATAATATAATATATTTCCGCATATTATTTTAATTCTCTCGACAAATGTTATTTTGATGTATTTCGTTTGATCGTTCGTTCATTTTGATTTCATAATTTTTGATTCATCATGACCATTTTGAATAAGCCACGTAGAACGGATGCTTTTCTTGCTCGAGCGCATCCTCGTTTAAACCGATGAACCTTCGCGACGGCGTAATAATTGTCGGAATATCTCGCGCGTGTTACATTATACAGGACACAGTTACTTTGAACACCGAACATTGTATATTTATGTGACAATCGAATGAAAGCTGTTTAATATGACAAATATTGTACATGATTTTAAGTGGATCAGCAGCTAAGCCAAATGGGGGTCGCTGCTGCTTCTTGTGATAAACAATAATATTAATAATATTAATAATAATAATATAATATCGCTGCGGGAAGACGAGAGAACAACTTTGGCGGATGATCGTATCCTCTGCGAACCTCCAAAATGGCGGCTGCTGCTAGTCAGGGAGCTCTACGATGTATGCTACGCTTATTAATCAAACAACCAGTGATGCAGATTTTGCAAGAACACGCTAAGAAAGCTAACTCCTGAATCCTTACAGATCTTTAAAATATCCGAATTCAAGTCATGAAAAAATCTCACATCACTACAGAGATGCGAGTGTCAAATTCGCAAAAATTCAATGCACAAACTGCATCACTACATGTCTTAGACGATCGGCCCTGTACAGCTTTCGTCATCTCGAACATGTTACGTATCGGTTCTCAATCGATTCTTCGGTTGATTGCGCAGTTTAACCCTCCAAGATCTCGCCATCGTCCATTTTTAGAATACGTTTATGCGATCAATAGTTCCTCTACAGGGGAACTCGTTGCAAATTATGTCAATGGGTTAGATAGAAGAGTCTCTTCGACAAGCATACGCTTACGAACATGATATTTTCCACACAAACTCGGATCTATTATTAGGTGTAACCAATCCAATATGTTTACTATGAAATTGAAATTGTCCAAACATTTAAGCTAAAATTTATGCGCAACGCGTACACCTGATATAAATTACTAATTAATAATAATTAATGGCACAAGGAAACCCTGAAAGGGTTAATAACCGAGTTACTGCCGAGAACAGATGTGATCACCGAAACGTATGTACTATCCCGTAATTATTAACAGTAATTAATCGACGGCAGCGCACTTTGAAAACGATTTACAGTTACGCGTCTGCGTCCAAAATGTAGATGATTCCTAGGCAGTATATATGATAAACATTCCGATCGACGATCGATCCAAATTTGCTCTGCCTGGCAATTAATTAGCGATAGGAAAAGGGATCGAAAGAAAGTGGGGGATCGTAGAGATGAAAGTGCGCTTTCGTTGCCCGATTAGAAGAAATGATTGGAGATTGTGTGGCGGATAATTACTGCTTGCCCGATTTCTTGTTCGATCGATCACCTGCAAACAAAAAAAAAACAAACAAAGGCTCGCGCTTGCCGTGCACAAATTTTCTTCACCCCACGAGTTACCACGACGAATCAATCGATCGAACGAGAGATATTACTGGGTATTACCTTTGGCAGACTTCTTGGTGTTGGTTTCTGGTTTACACCTCTTGGTGAGCCGTCGCGTCTTCTCGCAGGATGTATCGCTGTTCGCTTTCAAATTATCGACTCTCGTCATTACCTGATTCACGCATACGTTCCACGTACCTTTCTCGTATCGACATGCTACGATCAACAATCGAATTAAAATACATTCTCTTCTTTCGCTTCTTGCGACGATGCATTAATCGTGACTCACCTTTCTTACACTTCTTCTGTATAATCTTGGTCTGTTCGCAGGACTTATCGCCCTTCTTAAGGCTCAGAGTGCGTGACCGCGTGTTGGTATTTGAGTCGCATTCCGACCATTGACCCTTTACGTATCTGCACGACGAAGAGCTGCCGGATGCTGCGTCAGCAAATGCGAAACGTCAATAGAAACAATTGGACGTAACGTCGATCAAGCGAATAGAGAGAGAGAGAGAGAGAGAGAGAGAGAGAGAGAGAGAGAGAGAGAGAGGAGGGAGACCGGGGGAGACTTTTAAGGTCGACAGGGACCGACTTCTAATTACGTCATTTATATACGTATGTTACAATATATATATAGATGGTCTATATTCGCGACCGTTCGATAAAATAACGTCACGAGGGAAGGGGTAATGGATTAATTACAGAAAGAAGCACTCACTTCGTTCCTTAGTACCGCGTACTGTCCGCACAAGCACCTCCTTGTCATCCTCCTCCCACAGATCAGCTTCCGCTCGCGCATTCGTAAGAATCATCAACAAGGCGACGGCCACGAGAGCCAAACTCCAACACAGCTTCATTCTGTTGAAAAGAAAAGAAAAGAGAACGCTTCATCAAGCACTCTTAATTACAGTTTTAAGTTAATTATACACAAAAGTAGATTCGCGCGGCACTAGAAGCGGATTGTTACGACATCGATAAATATGTATTTTTTTACAAACACATCGAGATTGTAGGTCTGATAATTTCGCAATATCAACAACCTCTCGATCTAAACCAATAGATTAATTATTGTGATGATTTTAACGACGGTAAATTACCGAACCGAGAAACGTATAAGCTTCTCGCAGCAACGCGCTATGATTTTTTTCTTTTTTATGTGCATTCGGGCTTCGTTCTCGCGAGGTAGTCGGCGAAGCGAAGACTTCTTTATGCTGGATTTCACGCTGACGTTAATTAAAGCCAGTCCAGCGTCAATCTCTATTAAAGCGGCCCGTCATTGCCGATAACTCGTGATCCACGTCACGAGGCACCGACAGGCCGGCACAAAGGAAGAAGCGCCACGACGTCGACGTCGAATTCGCGGAATCCTAGTCGATGCGGTTATTAAACTTTTCGGGGCGATGCGCTCCGTTCTCGTTACAATTCGTCGCGATCTCTCGCGATAGTGGCAAGTGGTCCTTAACGACAACCGCGAAAGATAATTAACCCCGGTCGTAGCATCGTTCTGCAAATGGGATCACTAAAAATAAAATCTTACGTCATCGCGACTCATTCGCATTTTAATCCTTAGCACTGGATAGTTTGTATGCGGTCGTGGCGGTTAAGTGCCGTTCTCGTTTCAACAATCTCATCTGCGTTTCTACGATAACCGCGGAAACTCCTCAACGATTTTGATAACGATAATTCTCAAACGTTGCAGCGTATTAAAGTCTATGCATTCAAACAGTTAGGTCTCGTTGTTGCAGCTTTCTAGTTATAAATTAATCATATACACTGGAAAAGTTTTGTTGCCTTAATTAGAATTCTGGCAGATTTAATCAGAAAAGAGGAAGAGAGAGAGAGAGAGAGAGAGAAGTACAAACTAGACTTATAGTTAAAGCTTGAAAACAATTTAGTCAAGATAGCTAAACATTCAATTTTACAACAACACCAGAATTCTGATTGGTATGATCAAAATTCGTTTTGTTTGTGCTTCTCGTTGATACAACTAGAATACTTTTTACAATGTAACATTAGTAGGTACTTCGAATTTGCTGTAACGTTAACAATAACGTTTTGAAATCCATTTTGATATCTCTGCAAATCCAACGAAAAGAGATCGGTCTGCACGTCAGTCCTGTTCAGTCCAGCGTGCGGAAGCCGAAGATTGATTTATTGGAGGGTGCGCGGTGATACGAACGCATAAACGATTGGCTCAAGGTCTCTCCTTAGATCGATGCCATCATTTCGCACACGATTGGAGGTGATACGCCTCTGACGACGATGAATCAGGCGACCACCAAGGCCGTGGGACTAATTAATCATCAGCGATAGTAGGACGAGTGTCGCGCGTTTCTATGATGATGATGATGGATTATTCTCTATGTAATGTAATGGAATTCATGAATAAGCAGCGGCATAATCTCAGCTGCTCCGCTCTAAATCTGAGAAATGTATTCAAGATTCAAAGACGAATCTCTCACGAGTTGCGGAGAGACCGCAGACTTCAAAAGCTTCCAAGATCCCAAGACTCCAACTCGATTCTAAGATCAGGAACAGAGAGAGAGAGAGAGAGAGAGAGAGAGAGAGAGAGAGAAATGGCGGAGCTGTGACGTGTGTCAAATATGGTTCAAAGACCCTGAGATACACAGATAGAGTAAAATGCAAGTCCGAGAATAGAACGTAGGAGGAGAATCTAGAAAAGAAATCAAAGAATGTATAATCTATTAAAAGAACGCGAATGTGCGAGAGTCCACAGAACTTGCGAGACGACGCGTTTCGCTCCGACCGTGCGTTTTGCTGCACGCATCTTTCCAGTCATTCCGGCTATTAGCCGACATTGAGACAATCAGCACTCGTCAGCAATCTTGTTGGACCACCGGTCGACCGGCTGACTCTTCTCCCCACGCGAATCTCCGCTTATATTCGAACAATTCGTAGAGAAAATCGTCCGCGGCGGCGCGCTCGGATTGACGGAATTGACAAAATTATCATCGCATCAGAAACGGCCGGACGCGAATGAGACGGCGAGCGGAAGTTGCCTTGTTCAAGTTCGTCGTCGGACCTATTGTCGTCGGTCCAGCAACGTTCTGATACAAAGTGGGCAAGAGAAAGAGAGAGAGAGAGAGAGAGAAAACGAGATGCGAAAAAAGATGCGGAACGAGAGAGAAAAAAGGAGAAGAGAGATATCGAATAGATAATATGCCGTCGAATATAGACAGGGGACACGCGGTCAACATGTCCGAGAGTAAGGGGACGTTGGCCGATGTCCAGATATACTCTCTCCGTGTATCCAACTTGCGAACACGAGTACATCAACTCTTATTTTTCCTTTTCTGCGCGCATAGGTGTTTCTATAGTCTCAATCCTAGAAAGAAATAGATCTTTATTTTCGACGAATCAAATCGGAAAAGCGCAAGTGGATGCGGATGCTCGATAAAAATTAAGAAGCCTGTGAGCGTAAAGTGTTCATTTCTTCACTTGAACACGGAGAGAGTATATCAGATACAAATGCCTTAACACTCAAAGAGTATACGCATATCGTGAAGAATGTAAGGCTTCAGAAAGAATGTAAATGCATTAAAATATATGCTAAGACATTTGTATCTGTTGTATACCTGATAAACAGGTGTGACTCTGACTGATCGTGTGCTCGTGTAGAGAGACTGAGATAAAAAAATCACGTCAAAGTGTCATGTAGCTGATAGAGTATCGCGCGTTGCTGAAAAATATGATACCGTAGAAATGAGCGTTCGAGGAATGTAAGAGAGAACGCGCGTTCAATTCATCAACAAAAATTTATCAATAGAAAAAAGAATAATACGTCTTGCAGATAAAGCACGAAGCTGTTATGCATACGATATAAAAGATAAGAAAATTGACGACACGAATTATAAGCTCGAAAACAGACGGTCGAAAAGTACGTGATTCACGTCATTGTCATTTAAGACGTGTTATATCAAGGTGCAAGTACTAGACTTTTTCTCTATCGTGAGTTAATTTTAATAATTAAATCTTCGAACCGCAAACAAATTCCTCGTGCGAAATTCAAAATTTTGTTGGTGCGAAAACTTTTATTTCTATAGAAATAATCCTATAAGAATGTGTGGTGTGTGTACGTTTCTCAGAATTTCGGAAGACTTTGCTGTGACTATCGCTCTCCTCGGGATCCTCATCTTTCCAGAAAGTTTAGAAACTTTCAGTACCTTAGAACTTGGATTGTTTTCAAACTCGTACAAGAGCGCAGGAGAATAGAAGGGGCGAGTTTTTAACTCCGATTTCACGGACTTTTATGTACGTTCTGTTACGCTGTAGAAATTTATCGTGAAAAGCGTTGATTGTTGATTTCTCAATCAACGCAACAGGGCACAACAAAATGAAAATGATTTATGTAAGTTGCACACAAATAGCCCGCCCTTCGACCTTTCTTTTGTCCTCTTCTCCTCCACCGGCGGACTCTATACAGGCCGATCAAAAAACAATATACAAACAATTCACCGTATATTTTACCGGGGTCATTCGCGTTACCTCTTCATCCGTCTGCTGCACAACTTGATCTGGACTTTTTTTATTTACCTCCAGTATGTATATGGTAAAGTAGGGCGGAGTTGACTTGGTCTGGTATTCGAGAGGTGTGTGTGTGTGTATGCGTGCGTGGAGCGGCTGCAAAATCCCAGAAAGCAAGAAACTAGACGTCGCGTCGCCTAGAAACAAGCTCTATCTCTCGACCTCTGTGCCCGCTTACCATTGCGCCCGCGCGACACAACTTATAAATAGCTTGAAAATGAAGGGTTAAAAGGTTACGGCTTGTCTGCCGCAGCCCTAAAAAACCTTGCACCGTTTTACAGACCCACGCGTCGGTCACGCGGCTGTAGGAGTAACGAGGCCGAATTAGTTGTCATTTCGCGCTTCTCGGCCCGCGCTGCCCGAGATTGCTATACTCGCTGCGATTTTGCCATTTCCGAAACGCGAAGGTGGTCCCCGACGAGAATGCGCAATTTCTTCTGCCTACGCTGAAAAAAAGTACAGCAAACGGAAACGTAAAATTCTCAGGTTTCTGTGCGAGCAATAATATTTCACCGACTTACAATCAACACGGCGCTCATTGTTATCAGTCGCTCGGATTTATTGATGCGTAGACTCGAAGTCTTATCAATTTTTTAAAATCCAGCTCTATATCATTCGGTTTTCGAAATCAATCTTGTGTTTATAAAAGACTCTTGACCATTTTAGATAGTCTGCAATACTATAAGTTACTTTTATAGTTATTTAATGGCCATGTAAACTTTGAAGGCCATATCCATAAAAAAATCACGGAAAGTCGGATAAGATTTCTGACTCTAAAATTGGGCCTTAAAAATTGGGTCATGCCAAATCAAACAGAGGAAGATAAAGAAAGCTCAATTCAAGATACGGAGCAAGAGCGATAGTATACGAGGGGCGCAAGCGGATACTCTGAAAGAGCATTGATCGTCGTTGCGTGGCAGACACGCGCGTACGGTAGGAAAAGCCGCTTTTAATTTCTGGTCCCTCGGTCCTCCTCGACGGTATCAACCGTGCGCGCTGTGGGAGCTGGACCAGCGACAGAGCGCAAAAAATTCTCGGAGCTCCGTCAGAGAAGAGCGACGAGAATCAGGGGCGGGTCTCCGCTCCGCTCCACTCGTTCGCGGAAAATCGATCAGCAACGCCGGGCGGCGGCGGTAGCGTTCCGTTCTCTCATTCTCTCTCTCTCTCTTTCTCTCTCATTCTCTCTTTCTCTCTCTCTCTCATTCTCTCTCCCTCCTCTCCTCTCTCAATCTCTTTTTTTTCTTTCTCTTCCTCTCTCGCGCAAAAAACTCACCTGCCACAAGGATACCAAGTAGAGGATCAAGCTTGATTGACTTTCTAATTGTATTTCCGGTTGGTGTAATTATCCGCCTAAGTAGCTGCAGATACGCTCAACGGATAGATGCTGCGGACAGGAGACCCGCTTACTCCGTAACGCGGCTGCGTGATGCACCGTAATCAGCGCGTCGGATGAAGTGCGGATCTCGATGTTCCGTATGCCTTCTAAGCGTTGCGATGCCTGGACACCGTTGACTGCTACTACTACGTGTTGCTACCGTCACTGGTACTGCCGCTATCGCCGCCGACCGGAGTCATCCCCCTCCCCGAGTCAGTCCGGAGTCCGGCATCCCTCAGGCGCCATGCATATCCTCCCCGCTCCAGCCACCAATGTTTCCCCTTCTTCATCGCCGTCACCATGGTGATCATCCCTCCTAGAAAAGAGAAAGGCGACTGGATAAATAGAAATAGAACTATATGGAGAATCGTACAGGACGTTTCAAAATGAAATTAGAGCCTAATTACTGAGTCTTCATGAGTTGAAAATTAAAACTTCTGCACACTGACGTTGAAGAATAAATGGACACCAAGTTTACTTTCGCCGCATGTAATCTCTAACTTATAACTGAAATAAACAATTTAAAATTATGAGAAGAATATTGTAATTAAAAAGGAATGATGGGAATCTAGAATTATTTTGATGATAAGGAAGAAATAATGACAACGTTAGTTAGGATTGCTTTCAAAAATAAACATTTATTTCAAAATTAATGCTTACCATTAATGCTGTATCCTAAAAACTAAGATCTCTATCCTAGACACCGAGCGTGTTTAGGTGTTGTCTTAAGATTCCTTATGAGTTTACTGCATTGTTAAGTTGTGTACAATTTTGTATAGTACTGTAATGCTTTATAGCGAATCCATATCCTCGCTGATTCGCGAAATCACATGATACCCTTCAAAATTCACGCTTCGCACTTCCAAGAGATCAAGACTCCAAAGATCCGAGGATCGTTTGACATAAGAATTTTAAAGTTCAGCTAAATTCAAGGATTACAAAAAATTTGACACTTTGAAATCCGAGATGAAATAAAAAAATACCATCATAAATAAGAATTCCTATGTCTAAAGATCCTAAGATCCAAACTGGAAAATCCAAAAACCCAAAAAGATTTAAGGACCCTATAAATCCTTAAGATTTAAAGACCCGAAAATTTAACATCTTACATTCTAAATGCAACGCATTTATAATGCGTTCGTACCTAATTAATTCGACGATCAAAATTATGTATACAAAACTGAGTTGCGCGTTATTTCTTATATCACCATCAAACACAATTCGACAATTCTCACTCTCCAGCATTGCGACAAAGAGTAAAATGATAGTACCGCTAAGTGATGATATCACATTTATGGTTCGGAGTATGCGCTATCGTGGACACATCCTTAAACAGCATCTTTTGTAGATTGTACCAGTTCACCAAATGACGTTTCCAGACATTGTCGTAGTTCCGCGTAACTTACTACTAGAACACTTTGCTCATCTCGAGACATGAGACATATCTGTAATGATACATTTTAAGATTACTTTACATACACACAAAAAAGTGTTAAGAATCATTACCTTGTCCTGCGAACCCGAATCGAGTTTATTCAAACAGGATACAACATGCGCAAGATCCAACCAGGGTCTTCCATCAGCTGTAACTTGATGAAATACATAGTCCCTAAACAATTTGAGCATATAACGATCGCCCGTCTCGGCCCACGTAGGTTCCATATTAAGCTCCGGCCTTTCGTTGATGGTTGCTAATTTGACCAACAATTTAAATAACCGACCGTTTTCTAGTTCCTTGGCAAGTTCATTCTCCAGAACATCCAATCGTAATTGGCTGGCATCCAACTGTGTATAAAATCTTGCGCCAATCATTGGCATGAGATCCGTGACACTCTTACGGGGTTGATTCGACAGCAAGTACCTAAAAATTTGTCGTAATATATTAAAAATATTTTTAATTTGTCACTGTAGATTGAATTACGATAAAATCAGAAATCGTATAATTTCCTTTTGCTCTGTCCATCGACACATAAACATTTTTACATAGATAGAACTCATACTAATTATAATAAATTTGGTATATATATATATATATTGAAGATTCTCTTCATGGATTAATAACAAAGCTATATATTTAAATATAATCTTTAAATCAAATGATTAAGATTATCAAGAGTTACAAACTTACAGAATAAGATTTCGGAGGTCGGTGGAGTAGGAACGTGTAATCAGCTCGATGGAGGCTGACATATTGTCGCGGTGGACGGCGATAAGACTTCGACATGCCAGTGCCAAGACCAGCTTGCCAAGTGCAACTAAATCTTCTTGCTGATAATGTGGGATGAGGGTAAGTGGATTTGCAGTGTTCCCATCTAGAGTAACTACATCTGGAATGGCGACACAACTCAAACGAAGTCGTGTCCGTGATGTAAGTAATACCTTGGTGGGATCTAAGCATCTGTATGCCAAACCTGTAAACCGTAGATCAAATTAATCGCAGAATTAAATTAACAAGAGGAATTAAATAAAACGAAAATTTAAAGATTTGTAGATACGGAGTTACATGTCATAAAAGATTTACGGTTCTAAAGACAGACAAGAAAATAATATATACTAACCAGCGGCATGAATAACACGAAATGCGGCAGTGAGTTGAATAATGTAGCTCCAAATAACACTTTCCGGTAGCATGCTACTATGTTGTTGTCTTAGAATAGTGTTCTTGGTATGACTATAAGGCCGTGGTGCATTGGGATCCGATGAGAACGGATCGGTGTAACCGTTAAGCTCAGTTGAAGCGAAATGTTTATTCAGTAATGTCTCCGAGGCAGGGTGATAATCGTATACAAAAACCATGGCTGGAAAAAAAAATTAATTCGGCGAGAGTGCGAAATAGTGTTTGCACAGGCGATATACGAAATAAACGGAAGTGCATCTGAAATACGGACAATGATCACCGAATGCCTTGGTGGTAAAAACTTCTCTCAGCTGAACTAGATTTGTATGTGACAATCGCTTCCACATGTCAACCAGCACCATACACTTGGTGTTGGCAAGTCGAAAATCTACAAGACCAGCAAAATATCAAGTGCCAAGCTGGTAATATTCTGCAATATTCATTGCAGATAGGATCCTCCAGTCAAAGCTTCAACTCACCGTGAATACGACGTAAACAGTATCGCGTACCAGTCTTGATACTGGTGGCCTTGTATGTGGAAGTTTGATACCCAAGAACTGTCGAAGCGGGTTTATGAATTGGCTCCAAAGGACATAGTTCGTGATAATTGTCAACCTCGTTAGGTAAGTCAGGAAATCGTACTATATCGGGCTGTGCCAATGTCAATGCGTTCTTTTGCAGGATATCTAGTCGCAAGCTTTCACTGACAAAAAAGCTAGGAGCAGCCTGAGGAGGAGGTGTAGAAGGAGCGGAGGAATTATTAGAGGAGGGTGGTTTTGCCGTTTTCACAGGTTGTAGATGCGAAGGTGTGCCCGGATAGATGTAACCAATCTGTCCCGTTGCCACGGGTCCGATCTAATATTAAAGATAAACAAAAAATAGTGCAAAAATTTCCTCTTTACATCTTGTCAGTTAAGCAGGTAAAACAGGCAGTAAAACAAGTCACGAATTGGAGCTTACGGCTTCAGTGCCATCCTCAGATCCGACAGCGTCGCTGCTTGTATTTCCAAAATAGAAGTATGTTGTGCCACCTACATTTTCTTGCGAATGAGTGTAGGAGTTGTTAAAGAGATTCGGTGAACTACTATTGCTGCCTGTAAGGCCTCTTCCTGGCACAAATTCGGGACTGGCAGTTACTTTCTTTTGTGAGTCCAGAGAAAGGTTGGACAAATGCTTGGTCATTGAGTTTGTACTCAAGCTTATGCCAGGACTTTGGTGATTCTACATAAGACAATTTATACAGAATAATTATCCAAGACAATCTTATTTCCATTAATGCAAAAAAAAATAACGAGTTACCATGTAGGTAGCAAGCTTGGACTCCGATGGAACTCCGTTTGTTTGAGGAGTGTATGCGACAAACAACGATGGGTCCATCGCTTCTTCAGCCACTGCATTTACTACCTTCGTACTTATCTTTTACCCTTACTCTCTATATTGTCCTTTAACAAATTCACCACCCACTTACTTTTCACACTAACTTTTACAAGTGTTCCAACTGCACGTTTTCTTTTCTTTGCTTTGCTGATGTAAATCGAGGTTCCAGCCTTTCTAGCCTGTAACATATTCTCAAACATTATGAATAAAAACACTGAGAGAAAATATGTGAATATAAATAAATATACTTCTAAATAAATATCAATATTCATTCAATAATTCTTTGTCAGTCTAAACTCTCTTTGTCAAGCTTTACATATGTACAATATATACACTATGTTCTCGCGTTTATCTCACTGAAATCTCACAAAGAATAAAGGATTCATCGGCTGCAAATCTATAGATACAAAACAATGTATCTTGACAATAAATCGATCATACATAAAGAAAATCTCCACGATGCTTTTACATTGGCAGTCTTTTCACCGGGTCACGACAACGAAGAGACAGTACGGAGAAGATTCTGCGAGCGAATCGCAAAAGCGGAACGTTCAGGGGAACCAGGAGCGTACGCGAAGACAGAGCGAGGTCGCCGACGCGACGGCTTTCATGGCGAATGGAAATAGAGAAAAGAAAAGGAGCAACCGAAGTCAGCAATGGCAGCTGATTTTGACAACAGGCCGATGGAAGGCGCGCGACGCGACGCTCTACTCCGCTGACTTGGCTCGGTCCAAGGCGAGCCTAAGGAACGTTCGCCAACGGTTGGCGCGTCCGGAAGGCGCGCAAGCGGAACGCGCGGAGACGTCGGATACGCCGACATAACCCATCCGCGCTGTCACCGCGCGCCGCTTCGCTTCGCTTCGCGTCACGTCGCGTCGCGTCGTGCCGCTGTTTTTATTCGGCGATGCAAATTCGGCGCGCGGAAATCTCGCCGCGGCCACCTCGCCGCCGCGAATCAAACGAACAGACAGATGGACGAACCGTCGCTCTCTTTTTCCCCCCTCGGCCACTTGTGCCCGATGACGCGCGATCCTTACAGCGAAGATCCAAGGAGCGTGGCCGAGCACCGTGTATTCGGTGTATTCACAACATGCCTCCATTCAGCGGACGATAAAGGAGAAAGCTCACAGTCCACTCCATCTGCTCCGGTTGGCCGTATGTACGTGCGAGAACGAGTGAGTGCGTGCGTGCGTGCGTACGTTCGTTTGTGCATTCGTGTTTACGACGCGAGTTCTCTCCCCCCCTAGCGCGAGCTTCTTCTTTCCTCTCCTGTGTACGTGTGTGTGGGGGGTGCGTGCGTATTGGTGCGTATAACCACCACTACAATCCGAATCGCGGTCTCTCCCTACTCCTTTTGTTCCTCCTATCCCCCTTCACCACGCAACGCCATCGGTCGTCCCCCTTTTGTCGCGAAAGCGTGCGCTCCCGCCAGCCATCGCGGCCCCTTCGATCGCAGCTGTTCCGCGACGCGGCTCTCTATACTTTCGTTTCGAGTTCGGAGTTCAGCGTCGGCGAGTATACCTACCATATGTACACCCAGTGTATGTACGTGTACCTCGACGAGTAGGAGAATGGCGGCCGTACGGCGTGGAGCACGCTCATTGCTGAGCAAGCACGAATTATCGATCATCGATACAATTTTTTTTCACACGCCGTTTCCTACCAAGGGACGGATGATTAATTTATTGGCAAACAAGGATGAAATGATTCACGAAATGAAGTGACTGATTCATGGAATGAATTAATGATTCATTGATTGATTGGTTATGATTGACTGATTCATTCATTAATTTTACGAAATGATCGTGTTACTCTGATTACAATTAAGAGAAGCAATTTTTATGCGTTTTAGTTTCTTTTTTTGGAGCATTAAATAATGTTATAATATATGTTTGTTTATTTAATTGCTCATCTCAAAGTTTAGGGGTCGAAATAAACTCCTGACCAAGGTTTTTGGCTTGTAAATTCTAGTTTGAAAATGATATGGAAGACGATTAGTTTCTCTCATATTGGAAATAGCACGACACAGTGACGTGTCATTGGTTGCGTACAGCAGACTCAACTGTTGCGAAGCGGATCCGTGAGTGCTCATTGCTATTGGTGTATTCTTTTAGATCACCCAATCAAAATTTTAGATCTAAAAATATGCACCAATAACAGCGAGAGCTCACTCAACTGTTAGCTGAATGAGCGCAATATCTGAATATCTCGCTTATGCACCCCACAAAATACATAAATTTTCGTATCGCAATTACGTTTTAATTAGGCCCGATTGCACCAACGTGATTTCGATTTTAAGCGAGACTTAAAAACTGTCTCTGTCTCTCTTTCGGCTTTAATACGAGATAGATATTTTTAAGTCTCGCTTAAAATCAAGTAATGTTGATGCAACCGAGTCTAAATTCAATTTTAAGAACTCCATGCTGTTTTTTCATGCAAACTACTTGCTTATGCACTACTATTTCGTAAGTACAGATCGCATAGCTTTGTATGAAATAAATGTTTTCACGCTTACAACGACGTAACAATTCTGGAGCATCATATTGGACAAAAGCTTGCAGCACACGATGCTTGTTTTTCCTGCTGGATTGCTAGCTGGATTTGATTCTTGCCACTGTATTGGCTGCAATTTTGGCACTGTCGATATAAAAATTTACATAGTTTAGTCGGTAATACAGACGACTTTACGATCTCCTTTAAACTCTTGCAGATTGCATTACTGCAGAGCCATAACAATCCGGTTACGCCACGCTGGAACCTGGGCCACCCAAATTTAGAAGAAGAAGAAGATGATCATTCCTGTGCGGTGCTTTACTTGCGGAAAAGTCATTGGAAATAAATGGGAAGCATACCTAGGACTCCTTCAAGCCGAATATACCGAAGGGTAAGAGCGTCCTGTTTTTATTTCTAACCTCAAAACTGAATCATCAGTTGGCAAGTGCATTTTTTAATAATTATCTTTTGTTTTATTATAACGAGAATAAACAAATTTTTCTTATTTCATTCGCGTTCAGGAGGATATTTATTTTGCAACTGTCTTTTTATACTTAAATTGCACTTTCAAATTTAGAGAAGTACCTAGTACTCCTATATATCTCAGTGAAAAAACTTACAATAGTTGCAAACTGAACTTTCTGCTGAATGTAGTCATTGGCTGCGTTCAGTAGAACACAACAGTTTTGCAGCAGTTTTATGATTGTTGAAAAGTTTTAACAGTTATGAAATAAATGTTTTGCTGAACACAGCTTAATGATTGATAATTTCATTAAACACAAATTCAATTTTGATCTATAAAAACTGTATTTACATATAATACAGTTGATCAATCAAGCTTAAAAGACTAATATTGTAAAATAAGAAAAAAAAGATGGATATGATTACAAAGATGATTTGTATGTTACAGAGATGCCTTGGATGCGTTAGGTCTGAAAAGATACTGCTGTCGTAGGATGCTACTTGGACATGTAGATTTAATTGAAAAATTACTCAACTATGCGCCACTAGAGAAATAACTTCCATCTATTATGCAGACATTAATTGGAACATTTTTGGATCATTCATAAGATATCTAATGCGACCTGATGTATATAATTCCATGATGTATACTGAACTGAGCAAAGGCCAATTAAAGTTACTCTATTGTATAGTCTTAATTTTACATTTTAATAATGCGCTTGTGTAACATGTATAGCCTATGAGAAAAAATAAAAGAATGTTTTATTTGTAAAATATTCAAATTATTTTTCTTTTAATTTGTAATGATAAAACATAATTTTATATTACAGTAAATTGATGTTTTACATAAATTCTATCGATATTACAATATTATATATGATATTTCATGTACAATAAAAAGTGGAAAAATGATTTGAGGAATAAAGCTGTCTTTACAAAATGTAAAATCATTTCTATTTTATGTAACTCCAGCCAGTGCCATGCGTTACAAATAGTAAAAGTTAAATTTTTATTAAATTTTTATCCGCTCATAAAGGAGAAACGGTATATATATATATATATATATATACACACACATATATGTATATACACACACGTGTCTTCTAAGTATATCTATGCCTATGGCGTAAAAATACAAGGTAAAACGTTTCTGCGAACGCGCAGTAGAGTGAATTTGGACCCAAATTTGATCAGTTGTTTTGGTATGCTATTGCGTTTATAGGCAGAAAAGTGCATTTGGACCCAAATTTGGTTGTTTTTAGTATACTATCACCATTATGTGCAACGTTTCACCTTGTCTTATTGCACCATACGTATATCAGTTCGGTAACGAATATTTTGATGTCAATCCTAAATGCAATGCAGGAAGGCTGTGTGGTTTGCTTGAGCAATAACAAATAACACACATTCGTTTCATGCAAACTCTGTAGTTTTTACGGCTCCAAATCCTTAAACCATCTTTTTCATAAAAATAAATTACTTTTTATGTACCATTTTTTAAATATTATAATACAAATTGATATAATATTATAGTGCACATTTGAGTGAAATTAATAAAAATACTTTATTTATATCTTCCTGTAAGATAAGATTGTAAATATAATTTCTATAAATTGATAAATTAGCTTAAAACTTCCTTAATTACAATTTTGTATAAATGCAAAATTTTTATGTTAAAATTAAATAATATAACATGTCGATAATATAAAAATTATTTTCTACAGTAACTTCACGCATTCTTTAGGATACATTCGTACATTACAATCACGTAATTCACGATAATTCATTATTTTGCATTTTCTGTTAAAATGAATACTGCTGTTGCCCCTAAATCTAAATATGCTTTTAATTTCTGTCCTATAAAATATCCGTTATTTTAAAATTATTTAAAAAATTTAAAAAATGTTTCTATTTATACAAGTGTAGAAAAAAATATACTGATTTTCTATAAAAATATCCTATTAAAATCAGTGTAGATCTAAAAATTTCATATTTATAAGAATCTAGAATCTCAAAGAAATATATTAAAAAATTTGACCTATATATAATTTAAATACATCCGATTCTGTCCTCTCAGAAATTCCAATAAAATCCGTCTGTGAATACAACGTATACTTAATATCGTTAGTCATATTAGGTTAGATCTATAAATTTGGTAAAAAAATTTGTTGTATATCCGTAAAAATATTTGTACTAGATAAACGGAAAATGTTTTGTCTATCAAGCATATAATTTTACTATATCCATTATAGCACTACGTGATCCAAATATTAATGCCATCAGACCTATCACGCATATAATTACATTCTTCAAGGCTACCCAATTTCCTGGTCCGAAGCCGACATCCCAGTAAGTTACGGTCTCAATGAAAACCGGAATAAGAAGACCCAAAATGGAGAAACAAAATGCACCAATTAGGCCAATAAACGGTTCGATTGTCGGCACTGCCACGGCAAGAAGAACTATACAATACGAATGATTATTGTATAATACATCAATTTTGTATTCGAAAGATATTTTAAAAATAAGATCTGAATACATACCTGCACCTATTACTAGCACCGTCCTTACAAAATAGTTAGCTAAAATCGGCCTTTTCTCAAAACGATGTTTTACACCATTCCACGCGATATCGAGGCACACATAAAATTGTAAACCAAAGGTACAGAAGACGGCTAAGGCAATCAATATCTTCACAACTTGTGCCGCTCTATAAAGTAGTTACCGACAAAGATATAGAAAATCAGATTGAATAATACATATGTTGTTATATGAATAGAAGTTATAAGTGTAAAAATAAATTCTTACATTTCTTCTGTTGGCAGATTTAAAGTAATGCTACCCAGCGTCTCATCCTGATATTTTGCATATCCGAGAAATCCTAGAAAAATATATACAAGCGTAACACCGGACATTCCTTTGTTGAGAACTCCGCAGATTCCTACAAAGTGTTGCGGCGTCTTCATACTGTTCTCTAGAGGCATCACTACGCCAATCGCTTCCATAGCGAAAATAGTGATGCTGAAAAATTGCGGGAAACTTTCGATTGTAGCTACTAAAGGCACTGAAGATAACGGTGGCAAATCCCAAACGAGATAATAAAATGTTATTCCCAGTCCTGTTCCCATAAAAATGTTTGCCACCATTGAAATTGGTGCAAGATACTTCAAGTCGGGTACCCAACTAAGAAGGATCAGCGGTACCAATAAATAAGCGGTGATCAAACGGATGTTGTACTCGCCAACGTCAACATCTTGATAATGTTCGATAATCTGCTTGATATTAGCGGCCACAATTACTGCGTATACACTGCAGGTACCGTAATATGTGGTAAATAAACTAATCTGTATGAGATATCTGTAAATAAAAGAGAATTTGCTAATTAAAAAAGATAGCTAAAGGCTTAATCATATGTTCGAGAAACAATGTTAATAACCTGGAAGGTTTCGCGAACTTTCTTGCCCATTGAGGTCCGATACTAAAAGCTGTCTCAGCAACTTCAGCAAAACCCATTTCCGCTTTTCGAGTTTTGTAATAGAGCACGTGTGCACATTTTACCTAAAAATGAGATATGTTACTCAATCCTATCTTGTGAAAGATGAAATCAGCTTATCTATAACGACAACTACGCAATTAAATATGAATCTTTATTTCTAAAAACTCACCAAAATATATGCGCAATGCGTACATACGAATGCAACGAGTATCGTGGCAAAAATACCCAAAAGCAGTCCAGCACTTTTAAAAGCTATGGGCATAGCTAGTATTCCAGTACCAAGAGAAGCTTTTAATAAGTGTGTCAGCGTATCGCAATCCCTGAAGACGTCATAATACAGTTGCTCACACATTAATCGCGTTAACCCAAATCATTAAAAATTAATGACTAAGATAAAAATATATAGTATATATCACAAAATTTGCTTTACATATTGAAAAAGAGTATATAAAAGTACAAAGATGAAATAAAATTCAAATATGTGTGTATACGTGTTACAAGATTATTAAAAGAATGACGTTGATTCTTACGTTGTCGGATTGTCGACTTTGCGTTCCGCAAAAGGATTGAAACTTTTCTCATCGCCCACTGCGGCTTCAACATCGCGTGGAGCAACTTGTACTATATATCTGAAATACAAATAAATACAAAATTATTAGCAATTCATATTTTGTACATTTGTGCATTAGAAATCACATTTTGTTCTGTATCAATTAATGTTTTCGATGAAATTAATCGGAATCTTACTTAGCGGACAGGACGCCATCCTTAAGATTAGATCCATCTTGGGGCAGGAAGGTATCCAACTCTGTTGGCGGTTTCTCGTTTGTGTCAATCTATGTTAAAAACAAGAATATATAATACATGACATTTATTGTATTGACATGAGATGAGATGATATTAGTAGCGTGAATGAGTTGCGCAAGATAATTATGACGCAAATAAAGATGTGAATAAATTACAAATATATGCAATAACAGCTATATTTTTAGATGAATACTTACTGCTGCGGGCATGTTGTTGATGTACTATTTGCGTGTCACCTAAAATGTAAACAATAAAACAATCAATATTTTGATTACGATTGCTTTATGAAAATTTTAAACGGATTCAGCAAATTTATAAACACATTATTATAACACAAATTTTATTTATATATAATTTATCTTCTATCATGTTGCATTTTATTACTGATGTTATTGCACATCTTTAAAATATTACGATTTTAGTAAATTGATAAATAAAATTTCTCTCGATACTTCTAAAAAATTCAGACCTGTTCATTACGTATGTCTTATCTTTGAACATACCTTGAACTTTGAAACTTATACAATGTAAAAAACGGCATGAGATAACTCCAAGCCTACAATCGACAGTATCGTTATTTTGCGCTTTTGACAAGAGAATAGATGCGCAAATTTGTTATGCAAAATTACTACGGTTTACTTCAATTCCGCATTTTTTACGGCTATTTATGAATTCGTCGCGCTACTGTAAAAGGACATTATGACTCATTTGACATTATAATATTATTGTCTTCATTGTTAGTATCACGATTTTCAATTTAAAATAAATAAAAAGAATGAAAATGTTAATGTATATGTACACACGCGGATAGAAACACCTACTACCCATCTGAACTTGCCGGAGTATTGGAAATATTCAAGATTTCTCTTTGAATATTCATGTATCATAATTAATAATTATTCAAAAACGATAATATAAATTAATATTATTAATATTAATATCAATAATGGCGATTAAGCCGGGCAAATGAGAGTTCAGCGTGGTTAACAGTATGTAAGTAAAAAAATTTTACTTAAAATAATTAATGTTAATTAATATTAATATAATACAATGTCAATATTAATATCAATATATTAATGGTATTATCATTATTATATATTGATATTAATAACAATATTAATGATAATATTGATATATATTAATAATTATTAATGTCATATATTAATAATATTAGTTTTTTTTTATATTGCTTTTTTTATGAAAAGCAAAGTAATGATTAAGATTAATAATATTACCGTTTTATAAATTATCAGTCATAAAATGCATGAATATTCAAAGAGAAACACATCTTGAATATTTTCAATACTCCGGCAAGTTCAAATGGATAGGCATTTCTGTTGCGTGCGTATACTAGAAAAATAATGCCATAAACACATAAATATAAAAATAAATAAAAGGAAAATTTAAAGTAGTAGTTATATTTCGTGTAAAATTTTTCACATACTGAGGATTAGAATATCAATTTAGATATTTGCGATTTAGATACTTGCGTTGCTCTCGCCGTAATTTAATTATATCAAATGAGATTGTATTATACATGTAGTACGAAAGAGCGTGTTAACTTTACTACTTCCGGGTTCGTGAACTCGACTTTACTTGGATAAAGTAAACAATCGCATATATGTGCAGACGTTGATAAAATGCGATAATCTAATACATTAATTATTAAAAGAGGCAAATAAATGAAAGAGTTACATGCTTGGCGTTTTCAGAGCAGAACTTTTTTTAACGCGTCATATCTTGAAAAACCTGTCGAATAACAGTATTTTAAGAATTGACTTTTTCTACAAGCAAGCTGTTTTGTTTTTTTATTATATCATGTTTTATCATTATATTTACTTATGCTTATTTCCTGCTATTCTAACAGTTAAAAGATTGATATATTAAGAATATAATGAATAATGTAATGTAACATACAAAATCTAAAAGAAATGCGACGAGAATTCATTTGCAAAATGCAAATTTTTCACGTATGCGTTAAAATAAACTAACGACTCTTCTCTCACTAAAATCACGTTCCAATAAACAAACTAACGTTTATCGTCATCTTGACATTGATTTTGATTTATGTTTTGGTTGTAACAAATGAGCAATATGCATGTACAATTACGTGAAAAACGTAAAAATACGAAGAGGCACGACAATTGTCTATACTATTGTAATTATAATTTACAAAAGAGTGGATATATCTCTGGCGAAAAATTTAAACAGCACAAAATAACGTCAATTAATTTACTATATCTCTCTGCAACACAAGTCTTGATTCTAAGTCTTGATCAATGTAGAATTGATACATTATTACGGTAGCAGTTTTAATTATGAGCCGGTTTCACCAATGCCAATTACTTAATCGGCCGTTAACTGATCAATCGTATTTGCTGTTTAGTAGAACTGACCAATTACGGTTGACAGTTAATCTTGATTAGGGTTAATCGGCGTTGGTAAAACCGGCCCTTTGACTATCGAATAATGTCCGATATCAGTAACAGGAACGATTTATTAACTATCGGAAAGATAACCATCTAAATGCTATATTTTGAAACGAAACGAAAAGACCCGCCGCAGTTGTTAACTTCGCCTATGGGCACAATCAGACAAATATTAAAACATGATAATCCATCTATTTGCTTTAATGGTAATTTAAGATCGAGTACATACTTTAAAGTTCACAAGATTGCCGAACATTATCATAATGGATAATCTATTCCCACTATTTATTGTCGCTATTATTATCCGAACATATTTGACCGTGACGGAACTTTTACATTAAATGACACTTAAACCCACGAGATAATCAATTGGAGATCGATATACACAAAAAGTCCTGATAATCCTTGGCTCCTTACGACGGAATAGAAAACTTCAGATTGTAGGACAAGGTCCGTGATCAAATCTGTTGCATGCTTCCAACTGGAGATTAAACAACGGCCGTTGTCTTATTTATCCCACAACGATATCGAAAAACTTCATTATGCGGGTGACCTAATGAGATAAGTTTGTGAGAGTAGATAAACTTTTAGATAAACTCAAGTTGCCGTAATAAGCTTGAGCAATTAATGTTATTAACTGATTCCTTTACTCGTCTGACAATTACTACGACGGTCGTTAAACTTAGGACTTAATTCCTTGCATCAATTGCGATTAATCTTGCCCCTAAAACACGATATCAGAGCTGATCTGACCTCCTTTCAAGATAATCGGAATATATTGCGTACATTTTCTGTAAAACCAAGCAGATTTAACCGCACGTGACGCGCTAATGACGCTAATCTTTTCGTCGCCAAGTTTTGAAAAGGTGATTAATTTTAGGTACGCAAAGAGGGAGGACTTTTCGGAATTTGCAAGAATGAGCATAATTTGCATCTTGTCCCAAGCGTGTTAACCAGTCGCGAGAAATATGATAATCATTCGCGCAAAAACGCACATAAAACTTGAAGTCTCGTGTGCTTAACACGTGAATGCTAACGTTACGCAATATTCGGTAGCTATTGTAAAATAAAATTACGAATATCTGTGTAACATTAAACACTTGCGTTTTTAAATAAACTTATATAACGAATAAAAATAGATAAAATGACATTTCTTTAATATAAAAATAATTTTCTCTTGAAAATAAATTTCTACTTAAAAGCAGTGAAGAGTAAACACATGGTATCACTTTAAGGAACTGGTTGATAATCCAACAGAACCGCATCAAATTGCAAATAACGTCGTTGAAGAAACGCGAGTTGATATGGTAACTATCTTATCAGAAGTTACCACTTGAAGGGTTGCGTTCTCCATAACTGAAAGCTTTTGATTTTATTGCACTCGGGTCAAAGATAACCGGTTCATAAACCGTTGAACTAAACGTGGAAAACAAGACAAAAGCTGAAACTGTATCGGTAGATTACAACACAAGTTAGTATTGAAACTGTATAAACTATAATATATACATTGTCCGTCCTCAAATGAGTATTTACAATTAATAATTAATAGGTACCAGGTATTTTCTTATAACGGAAAAATATGACCAAATGTTTATCAAATAATGAATTCGATTGGATGCACTCACTCAGTGTGCACTGGTGCACATTAAAGTCACAAATTAATGTAAAATGTATATTTAATATAAATACAAAAACGAATTAAATCATGAAATCTTCAATACATTTTATTGCGCTGTGAAGTAAAATCTATATATTTTATAATTTGAAATATTTGTATAATGACTTTATCATTCAATGATATGCTGTCCAATTGAATTCATTAAAACTATATATAATTGTATATAATCAGTCATTATTTCCATTAAAATTATAAAAGTTCAAACAATGGAACGTTTAAGGAAATCGTGAAAAATGTTTAAGGATATAAAATATACGACATGAAATATTTAGGAGGATGCTAAAGATACTTGTACAGGGAGCCGCTAAATATATATTCGATGAATGCCGACTTGGCATTCATAGGACAAAGCCATACACGCGAAAACTTTATGCTATGGGATTCGACCTCTTGGAGAAGAATGTACGCCCAGTGCGCTTTCTTCTCTCTGCAAAAACGTAATATCAAATTTGAAACTGCCATTTCAGATATTTCGAATTAGTCAACAATGGCTGTATCGCTGGCGTAATATTTCACACGTTAAAGAATGTGTTAACGCATTACTTACAATTGCAAAATATTAGCGTCAGTATTCGAGAAGTACATCCAATTTGGAAAGGTTTGCATTTTGAGAAATTATAAGGGAATCTAATAATAAGTATACACATCATCCTTTCGTGGAAGCGTGATACTACGAATTTTAATCATAGAATCATTAAACTGGTTTACTACTTCCGAAAGTCGCCACCTGCCTCAAAAACTGACTTATCTTCTCTTTCCGTTACACATCCGGTATGTCTATAGTCTCACACCTGTATCGACTTATTACGTTTCGATAAATTTGCACAGCGATAACGCCGTCTTTTCTCTGACATCACAGAAAAGATACACGCGATCGGCGACCGTTCGAAACATCGATAAGCCGTTACATCATGCAAATGTACTGGTATGACGATAAGATACCATGGCTGTATAGAAGTCACCAGTATGACCATAGAAGTACTTCCATGTGGTTTTTTCGCGAGCAGCTGTTACATTTAAGGAAATATGCTCGTATGCGTGACTCATTTTAGTGACATCGGGAAATACTTGAGAATGAGCAAATTGATTATCTATACTCTCTTATCTATATATAATTATGATATTATGTAATAATATGATAATGTTAAAAATAATTATAGCATTACTGTAATAATAACATATAATATTATATATATTGTGCAACATATATTGCACAAACTTGTAGCTTGAAAGAAAAAAGCACGAAAAAAAATTTGTATGTAAAAATATTTAACTTAATTTTCATAATCATTCATTTTTGTAAGTGCATTTTTACTTTTCTCTGTATATATACATACCCACCCACGTGTGTGTGTGTGTGTGTGCATGTGTATTTTCTCAACCATAAGAAATAAAAGTACAAAATCAAATAATATCGAAACAGGAAATATATACACCACACATATAGAAGTATATATATATATATATATATATATATATGTGTGTGTATAAGTCCCTTATGCTCGCTTTGCGCAATTACTCTATCCTTTTTTATAATGTGACTTGCTTATCTTCTTTTCATTTCAATCTTACTGTTTCACGAATTTATCGTATCCGTCACAGTCAAGATCTCACGCGCATGAATGATGCTCCGAAAATATCGACGCGGGAAAGGCCCAGGATGCAGACAAAAGTTCTCGTAGCGTTAGGGTTCACAACGTACAGGCAGGAATCGAAGAATCGATCGAGAGAAGGTGACGCTCACCTGCCAAGTAGTTCGCCGGTGATAGTTTCTACGTGTTGAGAATGCCTAAGAATCAAGCCCGTCGCCGGCGGTTACCTCATTCCTGAGTGCAGAATCGTCTGATAGGCGCGAGTTTTGGAGCACGTTGTTCTCATACGGTGCTTCTACAGTATACCACGAACCGTTCAAAAGACCGCGGCCGACTGCCGCCGCGACTTCATTACTTGGCTACTTTCCATCCCCCGCGCCACACCGCCTCCTTTACCACCGGTGTCTTCGCTGCCGCCGACACCGCTGCCGCCGCCACTGCCTCCACTGCCACCGCCACTGCCGCCGCCGTCGCCATCTTTCGAAGCTTTGTGGCAGAGGTCGTCGTTCGGCCTCCGTTATCGATTCCCGCCGATCGCGGCCTTTGGAACTTCATCGCGAACAGCGCAAATCGCAAAACCACTGCTACCTACAAAATTATGATCCTCAGTATTCTGCGTACCTCGAGTAGTGCACTATCGTGCTATACTTTACTTGTAGGACCTTTCAGGAAACATCACGTCTTCTGCTTCGCCTTACCATCGAAATAAGGAGCAAAAAGCTACACTGAGAAAAAATGTACTAAATTTTAATAAATATTTATTTAAATAGTATTAACTAAACATTTACGGTACACTCAACTGACAGTAAAAATAAATATTTACTCAATAAAAAAAATACAGTTAAATCAAATTAACCGTTATATTGTACCAAATATATCTGCATATATTTAGTAAATATTTAGATATAGTTCTAATTTAAAAAAAAATTATATATTAAAATTTATTCCATCTTTTTTCAGTGTGTCGTTTCGTTACATACGTAACTGAACGAACTTGATAGAAAAAGAAAAAAAATGTGAACTTGTAGCTTCACGTCGTCCCTCACCTAAATCCGTATCGTGTGACGCGCCAGAAATGGCGGGCGCGTGAAGGCGTCTAACAATAAGTCTGGCTTGCACGTGGCTCGCTGACTTCTCTCAATTTGAATGCACCCAGCGCATGATGAAATTCGGCGAGCCTATGTCACGACGTTCGCTGTTATGACGCACTATACTATCCGACGTGTGGCACGTGCATTCATTATATATCGCGTGTTTAATACGAGCGCGTGGAATACACGATTCTTGGTATTACCGTCAATATAAATATATTGTGTAATCAACGCCTGTATATATAGACCATTTATTAAATGAGCACATAATGCTGATTAGGTACAATTCTCCTTGAAGAAACCTGCATATGATTACAGTATTACCTAAATGCAAAGAAAACATTATTAAATACATATAATATAAGTATAAGTAAGTATACATATATTCAATAGAAAATTACTCTGAAAAGTTTTACATAATGACGCTTTGTAATTGAGCTAACTTTATCAGAAACTCATAACCATAAGTTCTAATTTCGATTATTTAAGGTCAGAGAATAGGCCAATTACGTACTTTAGTTAAACTTCATAGCAGTCTAGAATGTTAATTTGTCTTCATTCAGTAGGACGAAATGGCGGGACCGCAATTTTGTCCAATCGAACATTGATTGTACAAATAATTGGTCAGACATCGTAGACAAGGTCACGAAAAAGACAGGCATTAACTTGTGTATAAAAGATAAAAACGGCCAAATGATCCATAAATTAGAGGTTTCACATGAGAACGCCGACTATGTCTGAAATTAAATATCCGGAATATCATATCACAGTAATACGATAAGAGTGCATGCAATAGCGTTTTGCTGCTGTGTCAAAAAAGCCATGTAAAAATTACACTTCCACTGTTCGTATTCTGTTCTACATTTTCGATGATTTTATTACATGTAATTGAAAATTAACATAATCGAATATGTATAACAATATACTTCAAATATGAGACATCTTTGAGAGACCTTATTTAAAAAATCCTAAGAAATTAAGAATTTGTAAAGATTTTGCAAGAATAAATATAAGTTTTATACTGAATTAAGAGTAGTTGAAATATCTTCCAAAACGTAAGCATCAACATATGTATAGCTCGAGAGCTCTAAAAATATACAAAAACGTAACCCTAATATTTACTTTAAATTCCATTGATGTTACGTCATTCTTCTAAAGTCACGAATCTGTGCAGCAAGCAGTAATAAATTATTAATTAAACCGACACATGTCTTAAACTAAATATTCTTATTTTTACATTCATTCCTCTGTCAATCATTTGATTTAAAAGATCTATTTGAAGCTTGAACTTTGATAGACGCGCACGAAACAGTGTCAAGTCATTTATCATTAGACAAGCGTGTAGCTGTCAACGTTGCCAACAATCTTTCGATCACCCTTCTAAATTTCCTCAATGTTTAAAATTTATCTCCGGTAAAATTTCCACGTACTAACATTGCAGTATTTAATTTCGAAGATTATTTAATTAATGAAAAAATTTATTATGCAGTCAAATTGCAATTAACCAACAAATCATCGTTCAACAAGAGTAACTTAATTACTTATGTAATATCATAGAAAAAGATTTCAAACAATCATGTTAACGGGAAAGAACAAAACGCTCGTGTACGAGCAAGCCCCCCCGAGTGTATGCAAGGAGCACTACCTACTCTTGTTAGAATTATACGTTAAACAGGCGTCAGGCGACCGCCTAACCAAGTTGAATCAGATGTTTTTCGTACCTACTAGTGTTCATTTCGGATTCCTCGATTTCGTAAATGAGAATGATCTAATAGTCACTCCGGTAGATCCCCTTTTCCAACCGCAAGTGGGCATCATTAATGAAGTTGAAGTATTCAATGTTGGAAAATCGGTACTGTTCGCTATCGATTCTGAGTCGGTTATGAACCGCGCTGCAAAAATGATCCTTAAATTCATGGTGAAGAAGCAGATACCAGACGCCGTCAAACCGGATGTCTTGGTAGGAACTGGCGAGCTGGACTTGTCCGGTCAGTACGCAGCTTTACGGATAGAGATGATACAGGACTGGAAAAATAGTGTTACAACGTCCAAAGAGTTTGATGGTCAAGTGCCATTGATTTATAATGGCACCTTGTCGGGAAATCTGGACATTTTTGTAAGAATCTCCGGTCTTGGACCGATGATTATCACAGAATTTGACGCACCAATCGCACAGGATCCTTCAACATTTGTTTTCGGAGCTGGAGAAGCCGATCAGATCTTATTGTACAAATGTCGCGAAGTGGATTCTCGTATTCTTGATGTCTTCGAAGATTCCTGCGAGGATCTTCAAAGACCGATAATTTGTCCTGTGTGCATACCAGAGAAGTATCCTTGTGTGCCATGTGGGAAATTAGCAGCTGTTGAAGAAAGAAATGAGAAAATGAGAAAAAAAAGAATCGATGGGATGACTGAAAGAAAATTAAAGGATATAGTACGTACTTAGAAAATTAAGAAATAACTTCTCGATTAGACATCTAAGCTTAGTTCTAATTTTTCAGTCATCAAAGGGCCCTGTTCAATATAATCGCGATCCTTCTCAGCCTTGCGGCAAGCCGGTAGTTCTTAAGGTATCCGGTCTTTTCGACAATGGTGACAATCCTGACGGGAAGAAACCTACAGTAACAGTTGCTGCAGAGTCTGCTGCAACGAAACCAGGCGATCCATCTGATCCTGATCATGATATTTTTGTCTTAAGAATCGGTAAGAAGGGCCTCGTTGGGATCGGCGAGAAATCTGACATACAGCTGGAGATGAAGACCCCAAAAGGACCTGAAAGAAGGCCCCCGATTAGATATGAGACCAGAGATATGCAAACAGAAGAACACGACGAAGAACTACCGAAGGAGCATAAGAAAAAGATTAAGAAGAAAAAGTGAAATGCTTTATTATTCAAATTTGAGAATCAAGCTCTGAGCACAATAATGTTTTAAGCACAAATTTATTCTGAGGCATTAATTTTGTAGCGATATCCTTCTTATCATTGTCAATTTTCGATTTTGATACGTTTACTTGTTGATACAATTGTTGTATAATAAACATGTGTTTACTTAACCGTATTAAAATTTTTTTCTTTTACTAAATATTGCAAAAGAAACGAAATATTATCATTGTAGGTATAAATTAGATAAAAATTAGATAGATCGAACTCAAATAAATTATGTTTTGCTTTTACGCATTATGTTCTTCCAATATCGAGAACTTAGCTTCAAAACTTCGAACTAGTAATCTAGTAATTAATTACTTCAGTAACTTGTATAATTGTCAACCTAAATTTTTTTTGTATCATTAATGACAATCAAAATTAATTAGAGTAAATATAAACAATTAAATAAAAATTGCTAAAGTATGTTCTAATAATCAACGACGAAGTTATTGAATTTCCATTAAAGATAAGTAAACATAAAATAAAAATAAATAAAATAATTTATATATTTAGTATATTTATTGCAATCTGTTATATGGAAATATATGACAGAAAGAGAAACTAATGGAAGGAGAACTACTGATTTTAATAGAATTATTAGTAGATACAGTGAATATTCCTACAATACGAGCAATCTACGATGAAATATTGCCAGCAAAAACATGCGTCTCATTTCAAGTAAAAACTTTATGTTTATTACTCTGTTTATTAATTCACTAATACTGTAAAAATATATATATAATTATAGATATTGAACTTGCCCTCCATCAATATTTATCAAGAAACGCCAACAGAAGCTTGCGCCTGTACACATAATGGATCGCAAGTCTTTAAAAAGGGCAAATCATGCTTATTTGTTCTTTCAGACAATGTCCTACAGAAACCATTGTGCAACTTTCCCATAACAATGTCCGTTTACAAAGAACTACCGCCAGGGGTTTTGCCAGACGTAATGCTAATTGGTCTGTGAATTTTTACTTGCTTTATTTTATTACTTTTCTTCAACATTTTGTTACATTCGAAATAAGGAATTGGAATTTTAGCTAAATAAAGACATACTAGTATATATATTCTTTGACACAGGCACTCATCAAATTCAACTTCACCGCCTTATGAACTCCTTGCTAAGCATGTATCTCTCTCAGCACAGTAATCCGTGCAGAACGATGAAGAATGCTTTTAAAATTACCACAGCGACAGGACAACGTGTAGGCGAAGTCACAGTATTCATCCGTGCTTCGTGTTTCGGCAAGAAGATCGTTACGCAATTTCAGCTTCCTCGCAACAAGGAACCCTATCTTTTCAAGGGCGTGGACGACAGTCCTGTCTATCAATGCAAGAGGATCGTTTCCGCTTCAGATAGACAACAGATACAATGCGTGTGCTCTCCCAAGTATGGCGATGGCAGCGGAGAAGCTACAAGAATTCGTTATCATGTTAGTGCCGACGAACGTCGGCGAAAAAAACGGCTGGAGAATATTAAGAAAGATAAATGTCCTCCCTGTTGTCGCGGTACAAGAGATATCGTCAAGAGCAAGGAAACTGTTAGAAAATGTGGCTGCATCATTAAAGACGAACGGACTTGTAATTGTGTCCGGTCAGATATCAAATATTCAACATGATTCAACATGAATAGAGACCAGCGCAGAACGTTTCTAACTAAAAACCAACATGAAAAATTTTGAAATCAAGATAGCAAAGCTTTTAGCTAATCGATAACCATCGCATCGTTTCGATCTTCATCTAGCATTGAGCGCGCTCGCTCCTGCGTATTTAAATCTCCGTTTATTCCTGTCCAGTGTCGCGAAGGGCGCCGTGATGGAACCAGAGGGATGCGACTACAGGAGGAAGGGAGGCTCGGTCGACGACACCACCGCTCTCATCCCCGCCAACCCCTTACCACACTGCGGGGTGCTAGGCCGATATTGTTGCGTCTGCGCGATGAACAACGTATGGAACAGTCGGGCTAGACGGCTCCACGACAAAGATGTGCTGTCGCGGCGTCGTGCGGCGTCGGGACGCGTGTTAACCCCTTGCCGATCTCGGTTGAAGGCACTTAATCGAGGTGTTGATGGCATTTCGGCAACAACCCAGATGCTCACAAACATCTTTGCGCGATCATGAACAGCTCGCCGCAGAACACGAACACCACCGGCACCGGACAACGGCGGACACCCGGTGTCGATAACAGCGACGAGGAGGAATGGAGCGGCGTTGTCGAATGTGTAATTATCCTGTTCTTGTCTGCTCTCCCTCGTACCTCGTAGTTATCCAATTACACCGAAAAAAAATAGAAAAATTATTGATTAATCACTATATAATCAATCTGTCTATTTAATTTTTAAATTGACCTTTCCGTCATCATTTTTAGAGTTCGCAGAATTTTCGTCTCAAGCATGACGACACTTACTATAATTCTTTTCATTTATCAAACTGTTATAAAGGTGTATAAAACAGATATTATAATCTTACGAATAAGCATTTCTTTTTTTCTCAGGCTGTTCTTGAGAGAACCAAGTCTGATAGAGTTGCACGCGCTGACGAAGACAGACGTCGCCGGACGATCATTGTTGAGAAGAAGAATGGCACGTATGGTTTCACGTTACAGGTGATGCTGATTTGCTATGTCAGATGATAAACGTGATATTCCCCGATCTCGATTTTTCTAATGGAGACTACTCGCGTTCTATTAAAATATCGATGCGCAATCTGAAACATTAAAAACTTAAAGAAAATAAATTATATTTTATATTACCAATATTTTACGTATTTTAACTATATTTTATTTACAAATGCCTCTCAAATGTCTCAACATACATATAATAATTTGATTTTGATCGATTTCACAGAGCTACGGAATACACTACAAGAGAGAGCAGGAAATAGAAATGGTAACTTACGTGGATTACGTGGAATATGATGGACCTGCATTCAAAGCTGGTATGCGAGAAGGTGACGTAATACTCTCTATAAACGGCCACGAAATGGACAGAGCCGATCACAAGACTCTAGTGAACTTTATCAAGAACTGTGATACCAGAATGCGAATGGTCGTATCCTTCGAAGATTGCGTCAGAAAGGTAAGCGTAAACCCGATTGACGTTGATTGAACTTTCACAATTTTGCAATTTCAACGCGATCCTTTCTAGTCTGACGACAACGTAAACTGAATTTTTATCAACTAAAGATATCGACAATTCCAGGTGGAATTACATATGCGTTATATCGAGTTACAACGCGCTCTCCAATCTCGCCTGAGCGAATTAGAGAGACTGTGTGAGAGAGAACGGTCTATTCTAATAGGACGATGGAAAACCCATTCACTGCCAGCGCGCAAACGAACTCCTAACAGCATCGGCACTAATCCCAATCAACCATCGCCCTCTTCTAGCTTCAATTCTTCCACGATTCAATGCTGCCGGCCAGCGACTTCCACCGAACACCTTCTTCTTTATAACGTAGTGTAACTGCTATCTATAATATATTTGTCTATAATAAGAATTAAAATATCAATACATAATAGTAAAGTTCTTAAACATTCTATAATAATTTTTGTAATTCTCAATTAAACAACAAGATTTTATAATACGTTATCGCGATTCAAATAATTAAATAAATTTTTTAGTTTGCGGATGGGCGATCATGTCTTATACCACGCAGTGCCGCTTGCCTAGTAACAGTCGGACCGCCTCGTTCTCGTAGCGACCATCATCACTTCCTCTCAAAGATGTCGAGCGAATCTGCGGTGACTTCCTTGCGTCATAGTTACCATCAGGCAAATGGTATGATGGGTACACCTGCGAAGAGTAAATCTCACAAGCAGTCCTGCCAGCAGCAACAACAGCAATCATCCGCTGCTGGTGAAGCACAATCGTTACATTCGACTCCCCAAAACAATCTCTGCGTCGCTTGCATCTCCAGCGCAAATCGTCGCCGAGAGCAATCCGACAGCGTTAGTCTAGATGCTTATGATCTTGCTAGCCCCTGTTGCGATCCAAATTGCGTTCCTAGTCGTCGACGTCGCGAGAAACAAAGGCGTGCTCGCAACGAGCAGGCTCTCCATCAACAGCAGCAGCAACAACAGCAGGCCAACATGCAACACCATCACGTTCAAGGACAACGAGATCAACAATCGCAGCAACAGCCTAATACTCATAGCTGCCCTCGCACATCCGGTCACAGTCTTCATTCAATTACCAGTAGCGACGTCTCAACAACAGCCGACAGCGTCGCCTCCTGCTCCACTAGCCTTAGTACTGACACTCTGTACTGGGATCCGAGTGTGCACCAGCGACCACCGCCGTGCCTTCAGTACGCTAAGCCTAAATCTTGGGATAATCTAACTACCAAAGCCTTCGGAGGTTACGGCTTTGGTTACGGTTATCTGGATACTGTAACCATCAAGACTCATAGCGCGGAGCGTCCAGGTAAGGGGTCGCATAGCAGCGGTACCGTCAGATCAAAGACGCCGATCGGTACCGTGCAACGAAAGAGCAGCGGTGCCAGCGGCAGCACTGCCTACTCCACAACGACGAGTTCGACAGTCAGCCGACATTTCCAGCCGACCAAGTCAACGGAAAGCTTGCTGATTCAGCCGGGACCGTATCAGGGCGACCTCGACCAGGCGAGTTTGAGCTGCGAGTGCTTGGACGGCGGTGGCGGTGGACCTGGCTCACGATTCATTCAATTAGACAAACATAAACGCGCCGACGAAGCAGGATATGTTCCGTCTACCCATGCGCAAGTCAGACATCGACGGTCTAGTCATTCCGATGGAAAATTACGGGCTATTAATAACTCCGAAGTTACGCGATTGTAATATTCTTTAAGTATATCTTGAGTCAAGCTACGTTAATAAAGCATCGATATATAAACATTGCTTGTGTTTTTTATTTTCCTAAAATTGTTGGATAGATAGAAATAGGATAACAAAAACGGGCGGATCTTTTACGTTTGTCAAATATCAAGGAAATTTTGAATCGAAACAATTTATATATATCTTGTTTGTACCCTTAAAAATTTTTTTAATAAACCGTTTGTACCTTTAAAAATTTTTATATCTTTTTTTTTATACTCTATATTAGATTTGTGTAGATCCTTTAGCCACCACCGCTGCATTCGTTTTTTATGAACATCGGCTGTTATTAATTTTCATTTATATAATTTTTAGTTTGTGTTAAAATGCTTGTATTACTTATATCAGTTTAATAAGCATGTCACAATGTCCCTAACAAACTGCACTCTTTCAATTACAAAGATTATTAATAAACTTAGAGACTACTTTGAATATATTATTGTTAATCACATTCCTATAATATCCAATCATTTAACGAAATATAAGTAGTTTCTTTGGTTAAAAGATAATTCAACGCACTGAACGCAAAAATTTCAGTTCAATAAATACTGTTATTTCAACATATATCGTAGTAAAATGTTCTATAACTCAGCACATCTGTTTTTAATTCAGAATGACCGCTAACAATGAGCGCTGTTAAGCTTTGGCCATTTCGTTCACATATAGATATTACAAAATGGATAATCTCTTTGACTATGCACACATACACGTATTTTCTTTCTATATACATACATACGTACACACGTACACACATGAATGCACTTGCGCGCGCATACATACACGATATATACGATCGATTCGCCTAATTTCGTCGGTTGCTCTTATGTGTATATGTGTGTTTACATACATGCCGGTTCATAGTGTGCAACAAGTATATACATAATTTAGCACATATGTATATTCCCGTGCATAATCGCATGTCTGTACATGTGCACTGAATATCGCGGTGTCGGACCATCGGGTCAAAAAATAAATTATGTCGTTACCTGTCCTCATTTTCCTCTAAATGCGCGTCCAAGTCCTACGTCATGGATACTCAAATCCATTCGAGCTAGTAAGAAGCTTAATGACCGGGTCACTTAACTGTATGCTATATAATGTGTACTGTACATCAAAAAGTGCAAGCATCGGTTTCCTTTTCCGTAACGCTCGTAGATCTTCAATTGGAAATAAGCCTTACAGGACCATCCTCGAACTTCTATTCTAATTTATTCTCAAATGTACAGTTATTAAGACGGTTATTGTTTCTTCAGATCCTTAGGCTTTCCATTTTCCAAACTCTCGATCATAGGATCTTTCGATCTTCAAGTCACGGTATCTAGAGACTTCCACCTCTAAATTGTGGAATCCTCGAGTCTTTAAGTTCTCGGAATCTAGGATAAATCGCGTATCTTTGGATTTTCATATCCGCGGAGATTCTAGGATATTCGTAGCTAAATTACTCAATTATCAAATCTAAGATCATTTAGAATCCTCGAATCTTAGAATTTTAGGTCCCTAAAATTCTAAGCGGCTAAATTCTCGACTTTTTCTAATTTATGAGATTATAGGAAAAACATGGTCTAGCTGTCTAAATTGCCCCTTATATGCAACTGCAGCTTCCGCAGACAACAAAATAGTTTTGCTTTATAATCCTCGAAGCACCTTGGATACGTTTCTCATACAGAAGTGGAGCAGATGGGACTAAGGAAAGGTTTACCTCGATGTTCTGTAGAAGAACTATCGGGCTCTAAAAGACACTTTCAAATGGTCTTCTTCGAATTTTCGTTATTCGCGGCGAATAAATGTGCGTATTCCGTTCGGTTCGACAGTTGTGTCAGAACATCGTCTGTAAGAAAATAAGTAGGCTTGAAGAAAAAATTTACACCTCGCAATATATTAAGACGCTCGTTTTCTCACAGCAACCATATCGGTTTTTTATAATTACATTTTTTTTTAACTAAATATTTTATACCATTTATCTCTTATCTCATTTTCTTTTCACAAGAAAAAAAAGAACAGATGCGTTACCTGAACAAGAAATTAAGTGCAAAAGTACATAACCCTTTTTTTACACTGTACGTTGGAAATAAATTAATTTTTTTCGTATGCCACTAATCAAATTCATAAAACAAAGCCATAAAACGACACAATACGTGTTGATAACGAGCTCCCAAAAAAACTTACAAAAAAACGTTCGTACTAAAACTTTGTTCAAACGTATTAATAAATGAATACATATTTCTTTTTTCTGATATAGTTGCGATGAAGAAACAGAAGTCTCAATCGTTTGGAGAAAATAAATCTCGTGATGAAAAGTGTTTACCAAAGCTCACTGTACAAGCATCCTCATCACTCCTGGCGTGCTGAAAGATTCTGTCGGATTCTTCAGGCTGCATACGTATCGATAACCTCAAGGCTTTCCTGAGTTCCGATTGGGTCAAACACGTTGCTGTTTTCGAACCGCATATCTATAGTACAATATGATCGTGTAAAAATAAAAGTTTACTATAATACATATGCATATATACACAGTAGATTTCTTAAACAGTTTGCACTTACGTCAAACGCAATCTCGACCTTGTTTAGTTCTGAAGACGCGTTTGCCGTCGCTAACACGGTGAAGATATACTCTTCAAAATCGACTTTTCCTTGCCCAAACTATAAAATAATATATACATATAAATTCTTTTTACTGAATTAATTAATATACATATACATATTACATACGTTATTTAAACTTTATATTATACACAGACCTTATCGTGAATGCGAAATAGTTGTTGAGTGGTTGGATCCTTGTCATCCAATCTAAGGATCTGCGTAAATTCTTGTAGATTTACCTCACCAAAATTATACGTCTTCTTCTGAACGAGTTCTTCTTCAGTTTTTGATGCCACTAAACTATAAATGAGTCAAAATTATCTAAATTCTAATTACTTGTAATAATTTTAATTTGACACCTACCCTAATTTATATCGAAGTTTATGGCTCTTTACAATATTTGACGCATGCGGAAGATGTAGCTGATGAGCCTTCCTAATAATCCGACAATCATCATACGTGTAATCCGATACGGGAATTTTCAACGCCCTGTAAAATCAAAATTATAATCTTTCCGTAGATGTATATGGATATAATTTTAGACCTGCTTAATCTGTTGTGCGCGAAAAACTCACTCTGCCATAAGACGTCGTACATTGTTTGCATACAGTTTAGGATCTAGTTTCTCTGCCTCGCTTGGATTATATACAGGAAGAAACTCGATCTCGCAACTGCTATTTAACTGTGTTAACGTCAACCACAGTAATTTCAATCTGCAACGGATGTAAAGCAACGGATAAAGCGTATTACAACAAATAAATAATTAAAAAAAGAAAAAGAGGAAGATGACTCTCTATACTTACGCGCCAGGACCTTCCCATGTCCACGTTACCGTGTCCAATTTGTTGGGATATCTGATGCACACTGGTTGCACCGGTACACCGGGATAAAAGGCGCCCGATTTGAACGTAATCAAGCATGACCGGTTTGTACAAGTCCCTTCGGGAAATATCATAACCTGTGGAGAATAGTCGTATCAATTGTACCTGTAGACGCGAAGGTAGCGATTTGCGTCTTGATTGGAAGCTTGCGTGCATCTATGAATTATCGAAAACATCATAAAAAATTGCAACTTCCGCAAACTTAATGAACTCAGTTCTTCGAAGTTTATATATATGATCAGTATACTCAGATTAATTCTTAATTGTGTGTATATCAATGGGAGACAAATCTAAAAAAATTTCACACGAATACAGATCCTATTTAAACCCTATTTTTCGAATTGTATTAAATTAAAGAAAATATTCGAAGTATTGAAATCAAGTGTTGTAATATATACGCTAAATCTTATAAGATCTTAAGAAATCATAATAAATACATAATATATCAGTAAACACCAGGCCAGATCAAAACATGGCGTGCGTGTGAATTCTATTTATAAATATTCCATGTATATATTTATAAAGTTTCTGTCTCTCTCTCTCCTCGTCTTACACATTCTATATACATGCTATAAATTCCACTAATAGTTTAATATTCTGCTTACTTGTGGCCAATCCTCCTTGGAAGTAGTTCTTTCAATTATCTCCTTAATAGTATTTTGCCGGGAATTTGGATCTTCTCTCCATACGTAGACTGGTTGTGTATAATTGATGAGTTCTATATGCATAAAAAAATAATGAAAAGTATAATCGATCTTACAAATGCTAATCGATAATAACTTGGATCTCGCTTGACTTTATTCGAATTGAGCCAATCTTTGATTGAAAATAATCTTTGACTTCGTTGCGTAAGAACTTATTTTAAAGTAGATAATGCGTTTGTAAAACAGTCTCGTGAACGATCTCATGTCATGATTAATTATTTAAAATCCGTCAGTCAATGACTATCTAAAACCGGAAACTCATTACAACATTCTTGCAAAAGATCGAGACCGATTATCTTGCAAGTTTGCATATGCAAAGGAATCATTGTTTTATTAAACTGCATTAAACAGATTATTAGGTAATTGAATTTTTACAAGTATATTATCTACTTCAAAATTGTTTATCATACACAATGGTGAATGGGATTCATTAATTAATATAAAACATAACTCTATTACTTCAAATAGGATATCAATAATTAACTTTTTTGATAAAAATTCGTTAATATTCAATCTTTACAAAATAATTACAATCATTGAATGTTTAATTAATATTGCTATCTATACGACGACAGCAAAACAATAACACACAATTTACCGTACGTATCACATTAGATATAACATATAATTTTTCTTGTTGCGCGATTTTGAGATAATTATGGATCACTTCTGGGGTGTGTTCAAAAAACCGCAAGATATATCATTTTATCCTTATTGTTCATGGAATGTTAAACAAGCATAAAATAATATCAAAATTCACCCGGAGGTGAAACAGTTTCTGAACACAGTCCTGTATTTATGAACAATGCCAATGATGCTTGAGACTTAAATTATATCGTTTAAAAAAGTCTCACGTATAGCACAGGTCTCGATGACTTCCCAATAACTTCTTCTCGACCTTGGGCATCATCATTTACTTGGCTCAAGTCTAATCACGTACAAGTATTCAATGTCATAATAAATAATTTCTTGAATATTTTAAATAAAATATTAGAGTAGAAATTCGCAGAAGATATTATAGAGAAAAAAAATTAAAAGAAATAGGAATGTACCACCTACTTCCTATAAACGGATTCAATCCCGACTCTCGCCTGACGATGATCGAGGGGAATCCGGTGACGTAAACGATGCCGCCGTCGATAAAGGTCGAGTGCGGCGCGAGGACCAGAATCGGGGCTTCCGTTCTGGAAGCCTGTTTCCCTCGGACTACGATTTTCATTCCACCGGCCTGGTAAGTGAGTCGGCCCACGAAACATATCCATGGCACTAATTTTCTGCGGGTTTCAACCGACAAGGTACATGGAATGGAATCACTCCAATACTGGATGTCCAAGTATTCAAATATCCGACGAAAACGTATCCACGACTTGACAGTATCATCACGAAAAGAACGTGGAACATCACAAGAGCCAAGTATACATGTAATTCAAATCGTGATACGAAAGAAGGAAACGTTTACGAGCGAGAATGTCCGATGAACTTTCTACACGATTGAGCGATGGAAAGAAAAGGGACAAAAAGACGGTGAAAGCGTTTGATTAGTAACCCATGTTTCGATGATCGTTAGTGCGCTTCTTTAGAATTTAAATTATATATATATATATATATGCACGAATATTTCTGCCATTTTTGTCTTACTAATACAATATAATACCGATTTTATTGTTAGTTTTTACAAGTTTGTAGCTTGACCTATAGCTTTTAGATAATATTATGCACAATGTAAATTTATAATACCATAAGATACTCAGTAATGCATTAAAGTTAATAGATATAATGGCGTTATTCGATTAATAAAATTTTAAAATTACATTTTTTTAATTTAATCGCAACTTTTAAGTTATTTGTCAAATAAAACACACTATGTAAAAGCCGTGTTAGCGACAATTGTTAAAACCATACAGTTAGTTGCTGTAGAATAAATCCCATCCACCATATATGCATATATATGAATATTATATATGTACAATAAAATAAATGATTAGAATTTGTGATTTTATACAATAGTATCAAGCATAGATCTTTCGTTCCCACAAGAAGAAAGGTTGCGAATTTAATTTAAAATCTTCATTTAGAGGTCATACTGCACTTTGACCTTAAAATTGATAGTTTTCTCTCGTAGTTTCACTTAACATGATCAACTATAATTTGCTTCAATTAAAAATTTCGGCCTTTACTTAAAAAAAAAAAAAAAACATAAGGACTTCTCTTTTATCAATTAATCTAATTCACCAATAGACGACAATGCGACCTACTTCCAAAGAAAGGGAGACGGCTACTTTCCCCTTTGGCAACGATGCTCGGCCCGCCAAGGTACACGACCGGAAGTGCATCGAAGAAGCTGGAATGCGGGGCGAGAGCCAGCACCGGTGCGTCCTTAGTCTCCGCTTTCCGCCCCTTGACCTTCAGGTGATGAAATCCACCGCAGAGAAATAAAGCCCGCATCATCCAGCAGATCACGACGCGCATGTCTCTGTTTTTAAGTGGTTTAATTTGCAATGCGCATGCACCATCTTCCGATGCAATTCTTTATTTCTACTCTTGTAAGGGAGTCTAAAATGATTAGCGGGATATAGCGTTCCTCGATAATTAGATTTAGTTAGAAGTCTATCGGAGACTCGATTTCAATAACTCAATTTATATTTTCTATTCACCGAGATCCTTAAATCTAGACATGTTTTAGAAATTGAAAAAATATTTGAAAATTATAGATCTCAAAAAACGCTTCTAAAAATTCATTTATTCTATGTGCAAATTAATTAATAATGCAGCATAATCGATTTATATTTTTATTCAAATGAGAGTTGGTTCGACAGTGACACTATAATCGAATAATAAACCTAAACAAGTATCCGCCTCATGAATAATTTACAAACTTGCAATACTAATGTGTGCAGTACTCAGTTAAAAGTATTCTAGAAATATTTCTTCCGACTGAATCCGTCATAAGCTTTCATTATGGTACAAGGTCGTCTTATAGACTTTTTTTATCGCAAGACCTTGATAGTAACGCATGACTAAATTATAAAAAAAAAAAAATATAAATAAGCAACTAATTTCTTTCGTAAATATTTATTCGGCATAGGGAATAAAATTATTACACAATATATGACACTTCAATAATTTCAATCGTGAATTTTAAACACTTGAAATTAATCAACATTTAAGTCACAAATTCAGGAAATACAAGGTGAATTTATCCGCAAGGTGTTCAAGTCGCTGGTGAATTACAACAAGAAAACGGAGAACGAAACGTTTCAATAAGAACAAAAAGTTTTAATAATATTAAAATTACAAGGACATACCAAAAAGCGAAAATACAACCTTGTCTCATACGGAAGGATATCGATTTTTAATACATATTTGCTCCCTTTCTCTCTCTCTCTCTCTCTCTATCATGGACCGAGGCTCACTGATTGCATTGCCTTGAGATACTCAGATCTACCGGGTTTACTGTAGTTGTATAGTTACTTTATTTGATTCACGGTACTTACATAATTATAAGTATTATTAAATATTTTTTAGAAGTAATAATTTTAGAAATACGAGAAGTTTAGTTCTAGATTTAAGATAAAAGTCAAGTACAAGACTCAATTTTTAAATAACAATTATGTAATTAGAAAGGATTAGTAAGAGTCTGATAATTAGAGACATTTTCATAAATATTCAAATAAAAAATTGTGATATCACAAATAAAGAAAACTTTACTTAAATTAACATTACATGTTTCAGCTGTATTATTTAGCTCTACTCAGTATAAAAAATTAATCAATTAACAATAATCTATCTTATTATCTATTAAACGAAAAAGTTGTACGGTAAAAGCGTTACTTTGATGAAAAAAGATGCGATGGATATTCTGAACAAGATAAAGTCTTTGTTTACCAAACGATTGAATGACCGATTGAAGAATCTAGATTTAAGGATCTTTAAGTGCGATTAATACATACGGAAATCTAAATGACGTCGGTTTAGTCTGCTAATAAAGCGAAATGGTACCGTGTCAGCACAGAGATTAAAAAGCAACCTCGAGAGGTATAGCTAATGTTAATATGAGTAGCATGATAGAGATACAACTCGGAGTTTAGGAATGAAAGAATACGGAAGAGGATCGTTCTTTCTCGCCGCAATTATCCCACCGCTTAGTTTCCTTCAAACATACCGCCTCCATCCTTTGAGAGGAGCTCGCCGAAGATCCTCCTCGGACAATCCGTGCAGTCCAAGGCAGGCCAATAGCCACGCTAGGATCATCAAAGTCGTAATTGCAGCTAGCCTGACTGGCAAGAGGGCGATCGTTAAAAATATCGTCTGGAACATCAAACATCACTGTATCAATCTTCTTGAAAATCAATTAAATAATTATATTTATACACAAAAATATATATTGTATTTAAACATTATAATTATTTGTTTCAAATACTTCAAAAGTTCGGGTATGTTAAGTTAGCACCCCAACTATAGTACTCAGGAGTTCTGATTAGAGTTCCCACTTCCTTTTGATGAGACGAAGAGTTCCCTATAAGTTAATAACAAGAGTTCCGCTCAATAAACATTTTTTTTACATTTTTTAAAAATGGGGTGCTAACTTTTTATCGAATTTCGAGGTGGAATAGTTCTGAGCGGCTTAATAGCTTCAATTTGCGATTGCCTAGAGTTCCTGATATGTAAAAAAATTTTCGAATATTAAAAAAAAAATTCAAAATTTTTGAAAAATTAATTTTTAGATACAATAGTTCTGATGATAATTTCTGCTTCTTTTTGACGATACGAAGAGTTCTCTATGATTTTTAATGACATGCGCTTAATAATCATTTTTTAATAATTTTTTAAAAATGGGGTGCTAACTTTTTAACGAAATTCAAGGTCGCATAGTTCTGATCAGCTTAACAGAACTATTTTGTGAATACCTAGAGTTCTTGATACATAAAAAACATTTTTGAAATATAATAAAGTTTAAAAAGAATAGTGGAAATCTTTGAAAATTTTTTTGAGAGTACCGAGTAGTTCCGAGTAGTGTTTCTTATAGTACTCGACGAGTTCTATCGAAAACTGTAAGGTGAAAAAGCGATTGGACCAAAGGTTTGCAAGATACAGCGACATTTGTCGTAAGATCAACAATTTTTAGAGTATATCTCGGAAACCGTTGGTCCAATCGCTTTAAGCCCTGATACTTTTCGACAGAACTCGCCGAGAACTGTCCAGAACTACGATCAGAACTACTCGGTACTCTCAAAAAATTTTCCGACGTGGGACTTCGAAAAAAATTTGAAGTCAAAATTTGAAGTCAAAAAACGGAACTCTTGTTATTAACTATAGGGAACTCTTCGTCTCGTCAAAAGGAAGTGGGAACTCTAATCAGAACTCCTGAGTACTATAGTTGGGGTGCTAACTTAACATACCCCAAAAGTTCACATGTTCGCAAATCGATATGTTCTCATCATAAACATTAAATTTATTTAAAATGAATTCTGAATCATAGTGAAGTATATATGCATATTTCTGCTTATAGAAGTTAGTATATTTCAATTAATTATTAAATTAAAACAAATTATTTATTATATAAAATATTTTTAAAATAATTTTTTTAAATAATTCTTTAAGAATAAATAAATTCTCGTTTTGAACATGATAATAATGAGTTAAGTATATGAGGTTATTATCATGAAAATATTCTTGTTAAAGTAACCGTAAGAGAAAAAAATACTTATCACTTTTCTCAGTAGTAAAATGATGTATTTTTCTCTGTGTAAGCCGCTTTTAAATTTAACATTATATATGCTAATTAATTATCACAAATTAAAAAGTCAGATAGATTGGCTTTATTTTTTTATTCATAAATGCGGATCTTTGTCTTCGTAGTTGATACAGGTTCAACATACTAAACGTATTTTAAATTAATGTTAAAATATATTTCCGTATTCTCTAAATGTTACGCGTAAATATTAATATTTAAAATACGTTAAGGAAGTTCGTTTCAGAGGTACTGCACATAAAAAATTTATTATCGACAAAGTGTCCTCGCAGTATTACAGGATCACAGTAAAAATGGGTCACGCAGATAAGTAAGTAATTGGCTCTCAGACTAACTTATCGTCTGTCTCACGAGGTCAAGGTTGCGACGCGACGTGTCCACAGAAGGCTTCGGCTTCTCATTGTAAAAAGAAAGAGAAAGAAAGAATAAAGAGCAAAAAAGAAATAGGATGCGAGTAAGTACCGTTCGTTACGTTTCGCTGTTCCGTTAGGTGCACATCAGCGGTGCTTCAGCTGTATTTCGTCCCATCTCACTTTATCTTGCCGAAGAGAACTCTAGACTGATGCACCGAATGTGTGATATACAAAAGTAAGTCAAGTGACTCTATTAAGAATGTCTATTAAATTTATGTTGTCAAATAAATATTATTGCTGACTCTGATCAAATGCGACTGCTATGACATAATTCTCTTGTAAACAAAGGTAAGAGAGAATTGCTGGGTCAATAATTGGGGAGAAAAAATTAAATTCGCATACAGATATCAAAATAATGAAGCCAAATTTTTAATGAAGAATAAGAACATTCGATTCGATTTACTCTAACTAATAATGTCATATAAATAGTAACGAAGAAGTCTTCTACGCATCCGTCATGCGCTAATTTTTGCGTAGAAAGTTGTCGCGGATGTAACTGTAAATCCTAAGGGCCGTTGCGCTAACTCGCAACGAGACGCGTTAGATAATCGCACATCAACGTAACACTGGCAGTGTTCAGCAGAAAAAGTAACTCAATAAGTAACTTTTACCGGTATTTTTAAATTTAAAAGAATATTTTATCTTTTATTCTAAAAGGATAAACTAATTAAAGCAAAGCACTTTCAAGCTGCTTTTTCTGCTAAATGCAATCATCTCGGTGACTATTATCGCGCAATATTAATGTGTCCAATCTGTAATTATTGAAAACATGTTTGCTTGTTTAAGTGAAATGTATCTAGAGTAAAAGGAGAGAGTAAAAAGAGAGCGAAGGTGATATGAATAAAAGAATCCAATACAATTTTGTCGATTTTCTCAATTTTTCGAAATGATATTCCAGTTTGGATCCCGTTAGAACGATGTTGCCGTTCTTCATTCACTTCATCACATCTATAGAATGTGGGCTTTCTACACGTTCAAGACCTCACTGGTGTTTTAACAAGAGAAAGCATCGGTCCACGAAGGAGCCGCTATTCGCATCGTGTTAACGGCTAGAAAAGCGTAGGCTGCAATTTTAATGGTTGGCAAAATATGTAGATAAAAAACGTCTGCGGCCCCGTTTTTCGCAACAAAGCCTAAACTGGCACACGAAGAAACGAGTTTAACGAGTGCGAGAATCGTTTCCTGTTACTTCTTAATCATATCGCAAATAATCCAGTTGATGCGAGAATACAGATCTTTAGAGCTTTGAATAAAAGAAATCTGTACATACAACACAGATCGATATATGTATATATATAAGTATAGAAACAAGTCCGTTTTGTAAATGCCAAATTGACACGTTTCGACATGCCGGAGTTAACAGGAAGATCTTGAGGAGTCATGAGACACACACGTTCGACAACCAAACAAAAGTATCACATAGTACATTATGTCAAGCTTTCATAAATTATCGTAAAGCATCTGAGTCAAGTGAACGTGCTGATCGCGCGTGATGACCTTGTTCATGGTTAACGCACGTGACTAACATTCGTATCGCGTTTCGTAGGAAACCCAACGGCGCGACAACGTGCCGAGGAAAGTGGGGCGGAAATCATACATGCGGAGCGTATACGCCTGATGGACCACAAGCGAGACCACTTGATAGACAACGGCTGTAAATCCTTTTGTCCGGAAAAACGACAGGAAGTCGAACGTAATAGACGCAAAATTGGCACGACCTGGCCGATTCCCGCTGCGCCGTGAAAGTCGCGCCGCGACCAACTTGAGGAAAAACCGGCCTGTGCCTTGCGATATCTCTTCAGCCGTGAATGTTTTCTTTCGCGTTACATTACTTCTGCATTTTTATTTCGCCATACAGTCTGGAATCGTAAAGTGATCTTATATAATGGTAATAATATTATGTATTGTTGTATTTGTTACGTCCAGATTATGCGTGCTGTTACGCTTGTTACAACTCGCCCTGGTAGCAAATATTTATTGATGTACTCATTCGGCTTTAGAGATACATTGGACCAATACACTCTCTATTTGGTGGCATAAGTCGATACAAGTGCTTCTATCCTTGTTATTCCTCTGAATGTCAAAATAGAACGATATGTGAAAGCACCTAAAGCGTGCTACTATTGCCGGTTTCTACCAATGTAGATTGACTTTAATCTCGATTCAACTGTTACCCTTCTCCTTCTAATTCTTAGAACTAGAAAAAGTATGAAGAATTAATTGAACGGAGATTAAACATCGATATATTTGAATCACTGGAAAAAAAGGACAGGGTCCTCGATGATTGTTTTTCCAAAGAATTATTATTTCATTAGTTGCATCACGCAATTCGCACCATGTCCGACTTATTCTGTCAATGTTCATCATCGTTGCCTCTCTTGTGACGGCTTTGTCAATCGCGTACGAACGCGAGCCTGCGAATTCCATGTAAACTGCGAAGCAATTTCAACACTCACGCGCACTTTCTCGACACCGCGCGATCGAAGCACACCCATTTCTCGCCGGCGGTGGTGGCGTCGACGGTGGTGGTGGCGGCATCCCCTAAAACGCGACTGCATCGATCCCGGGGAAAGAAGCCGTTTTCGAGAGAGAGAGATACTGACCTTGAGCTTCTCATAGGTCGAGCCGAGCTCGAGTCGATGCACAAAAGGGTTGAGAATATCGGCGCTGAGGGAAGCGGCATCGATGTCGTCGGCGGCGGTTGGCCGCTCATTCCTCACGTTTCCGTTCATCGTGCAGAAACGGAAGACAAACCTCCGAGACACCCGGAGATGGTTGGGGTTTACACCAAATGTCTCTCTCGACGGGCTCTTCCTCCTTTTGGCTGAGAAGAGAAACAGAGAGCGAGGAGAAGTGACACGACCGAACGACGAGAGGAGATCGCGAAGCACTGCCGCACGTAGCACGCACCCCTCCGTGTCCGAAAGGGTTAACGGTCAACGGTAGACTGCGCTACCCGGACACGCGCCACCTCGAGCGCTCGGCGCCTCCTCCCGCTGATTACGCGGCAGCGAGCGAGCGTAGAAGCGAGCGAGCGCCGCCGCCGTCGGCACCGTGCGATTCCGTGTGCGATGCGGACGACCCGGTTAACGCTTGCCCGATACTGCGCGCAAGGATTTATCAGAGAAACCTCGTACCTCAAAAAAAAACGAACACAGCACCGCGTCTTCCTTTCACATTCGTTCGTTGGAAAACATGACCGAACGCGCCGCAGGCCGCAGGCCCTCCGTCGAACGTTTTGATAAACAATTTTTGAATCTCCTTCAGCTATCGCTCCATCTGTTTCTCATTTTTCAAGTCTAATCTTATAATCGCGCGAACGCCGTGTGCGTTGTATTTATCTAGAGAATTTTCCAGAGCACGCGTGAGACTATTGTATTAATCTTATCCATTGAATACGCGATAGTCTTAATTATTTTTTTTTTTATAACAAAATGCATACCTGTTTACGATTAAAATCGTTTATTTCTCGGAAAATTTCATGATTTTTTTTGTTCCTAAAGCTTTTCTCCGTGAGGCGATTTCCATGAACCTGCGCGAATTAAGTTATTGATTATTATTGTGCGACAGAGGGCGACTTCAATGAAATTCAAATTAATACAATCGATATAGTTACTCGTAGCAAAACTTTTTTGTTCATTTTTGACAATGTAGATTAATTTACAAAACAAAAAACGTTAATTTTAGAATTTCTGACTGTATGTTGTAAACAATTTCTATTAATGTAGATTAACTGTAATTTCGGTTTAATTTACTTTTTATCTCGTTTCAGTTCTAATTAAAAACCGAAAGTCAAAATAAAAAGTATAAATTTATAAAGAGATTAATTGATAAAAATAAGTAGGTTATAAACCCGAGATTAAAATCAATCTACATTAATAATAAAAGTGAATATAATGAATTAACCTTTTTTTTTTTTTTTGCGTCAAATGACGAAAAGATAATAATATTCCATTCACGTTGATGAAGTACTGTAGATGTTGCTCATTAAGTTAATTGTCAATTAGATTAATCGGAACTTGCTTTGTGAGGACTTCCAGATTACCTCGGTGATTTTCAGCGATAATTCGATCAAATTCGATCGGTGATTAACGAGGAATATGCCTTACCTTAACGATAGCTATATAGGATTACGAATCTTTAAAATGTAAAAAGGATTAGGCGGATTAAAAGAATAACAAATTATATAAATCCGAGATTCGATCCACTTATGCGGATTCTGTCAGCTGAATTAATCGCCGTTAATTGGAGTCAATTGAAAGTGAAGTCGCCTTTATTTAATCGAAAATTGATCCAAGTATCGATCTCATCTCTCCGCGGATGCATCCTACATACCTACCTGCTCTTATCTCATGCAAGTACTGCGCTTCCCTCATTACCGGTCGTTACTGACGAAATACCGACCGCAGTACCGGTGCGCACTATGAAAATTGTATCGTGCACTATACTCGCGGGAAGAGACAGAGACACCAACTGTTGACCAATCACGATCCCGCTGGATCGCGCGACTACCGTTACTTTGTGAGTAAGAAGGAATCTGCTTGAGAATCTCGGGATCGTTCATCTATTTTACAAAGGTAATTTTATCAATCAATAGCATTACGAAACTATCACGTTTACTAATTGGTTGTGGTTGTGCGAGGGGGGGATGTTGATTAAAGTAAATTGATATAAGGAATCATAACTTTGACTAAACTCCGATTGACTCGATCTATCTGCCTATTAATATCCGTTTTTACCAATGTAGATTAACTGTAATCTTGGTTTGATTTGTTATTTTTTGTCTTTTTGTAGGTCTGAGAATCAGAAAAGGATAAAGAATAAATTAAACCAGATTAAAGTTAATCTACATTGGCAGAAATGGACATAAATGTGATTTTTCTATCAATTTATTCTGCGGCATCTCGAAAATCCGAGTCCAATACATAATCATTATTTATTTATTTAAGCCATGTCTAATGTATATATTCTACTGCTAGCACTAATGAAAATCCAGTGTTGACAAAGTTACTTTTCAAATTACTTTTTATGGAAGTCGAATACAATAAATCTCAACATGTTATTTTTTATATTAGAGTTTATCATTCGTTCCAATTTTTGTATTATTTTTTATACTTAATTTCTGTAATAAACACGCATAAGGTAATCTAAAAAGTAACTTTCCTAATTCTGTAAAAATTTATACATATTGTATGTTAAATGTATGATTAATTTTTCCTGCTTTATTTTGCTTATATTTTAATAAATTACTAGAAATTCTGCATTTTGCGTGATGCCGATTCTAATAATTTATCAAAATGCAAGCAGGAAAAAATGTATCATGTGCCATAGGCTTTACGTATACTGTGTATTTTCAGTACTGACAGCGGATATCCGAACACTGCCTTAAAAGATTTTTCTTCCTAATTTATCCCACAGCATATATCCTCGAGAATCTGTACGATGGTGAGGAAGGATAAGAGGAACGGGCCGACAGAGAACTCTCGTGCGAAATTACCGCTTGTTGGAACTATGCCTTCTGACGATCTTCTGTGCGTTTACGTCAGGAACACTTTATTTTACATATTTACATCGGTTTCTTTCTCTTTCTAGAGATTGCGCCTTTGGTCTATCCTTTCTCTCGAGCGCTCTATCTTTCTCTCACGCACACATACAAACATATACACGCTTCTGATACGCATTTCCTTCCTCGAAACGGGTACGAATGAAAATTATCCCATAAATTATAAAAGAACATCGTTGACTACCTGTTAAATACGTCTGGCTAACCGAACGGCCTTCTCCGGAAAACGGAATAGCAGCTTGTTGCTCTCGGTCGAATTACCCTTTAACCAGTAATTCCAAGCTCGCGCTTATTCATCACATATTCTCTTTCTTTTTTATCTTCTTTAGTGTATTCTACCGCATATTATACGTCGAAAACTATAAAGGACAAATTTTTGTCCTTTATGAAAAGTCCTTAGTTTAATATTGCGTTAACTTCAGCGATCCGTTGCGAGTATCACTCTCGAGATATAATACAATTTATCCTATGATACATATCGTGAAATTTATCAGCAATTTCATTGCAGATATTTGTTTTTGGCGCAAATGGATCGCGTCCGGTTCACCGGTTAAAGGGTCGTGATAAAAACTTCGTTCTCGACTACGATAATGAAGATCATAAAAATAACGAAGCTTAGATTACATTTATGCCCTGCTCTATGCGACATGTGAGTATACGGTAACGTAAACGGATGCTTGGATCCTTGGATCTTCAGTCGCCGAATGCCTTACTGTATGAATTTAACAATCGTCAAATATAACAACGCGCTACGAATATCTTCCGTTTGTGTTCCAGGATTAAAAGGATTACTTAAAAAGATCTAAAGACTGCACGGATTGAAATATTCAGCGATTTGAAGACTGTTAAGATCGTGACGGAAAAATTGAGAATTTTCAAAGAGGTGAGCACTCATAAAACGAAGAAGGTTGATAATAAAAATATTTTATAACGTAAAAGCTCTCTGAACGGTCTGGGGAATCGAAAAACTTAGGGCGAAGAATCCAAGGATATAAGCATTCAATCTTTAGATCATTGGATCCTTGAATCCTTATATCCTAATATATATATGTATCACGTATGTACGTACGTATGCCGTATGTGTTTGTATGTATATGTGCGCGCGCGCGTGTGTATATATATATATGTAGATGGATATGTATATTAGAATATCCCTTACTTGTTTACGTCTGATTATTGCAAATATCTTATTTATAATTTTTTCTCTTTAAATTATCAAAGTTCGAAATATTGTCTTTGTCTCTCACTGATCTAATTTTGTTGCCAACTTCGATAACGACAGTTTAATTTGCCAATGCAACGCGTAGCGAGAATTTTCTACAAGTAAGGAATACGCTAGTATGTAATATGTACGCAAACACGTGTGTAAACGTATGCATGTATACACTTTGGAAGTGGAGCGTTCGTATTATTGAGGTATATCTACGTTTAAGCGTTCGGATATTGTCGGTTCCTCGAGAAGCTAGAAAATACGCTCCACAGCCGGAGCCAATTGCCGTTTATGAATTTTTCTAAACTTTTATGCTTAACGCATGTACATTCAGATTGCATCACTCTTCGAGAAAATCAACATCCTTCGAGCAAATATTTTTCGCCCCCTTTTACTTTGATGTGTTCTCGAAGAATCATGCTTTCTGCAATCGTTGTTCCGAGATGTACGAGTCCGATAAATAAAATGAATAGCCCTGAACGTCCCTGAAGTGAAGCTAAGATCAAACGAGTTGTGAACGTGGAAAACAAAAATTATGCAGCAATTAATAGAAACCAATCGAAAAAAGTATTTATAGGTATTTTTTTTTAATGTTTCTTATTTTGTTGGATATTTTATGATGTATCAATTCGCAGTTGCGTTGTATCGTTTATGTCATTAATCTTTATTGTTTATATCATTAATTTTTTTTTTAACTTTAACTTTTATTCTTGCATCACTTCAGTGACATAACGGACCGAGAAATCTTATGATGAGATAAACGTGAAAGGAATGTTCAACGAGCGTAAAGCGATATTTCAATAGCGATATAGGTCGTCGTAGAATTTTTGAGAACGGATCATTAGAAAGTCAACTCGTGATTAAACTCGTTAATTTGGATTATTATGAAATCCTTGAGCCTTAAAATCCTTGGATTCTTGGACCCCTGAATTTTGAGATCCTTGGACTCTTAGATCTACGTATTTAGAGTCGTAAGCCTCGTACTCGAGCCGAGATTTTTCGTACGTAACCGCATTTAATCCATCCACCGGCGTATATACTGTGTGCCCCAAAAAAGAGGGATCAGTATTTTTATTTCGAAAGTAAAAGTTCTGTCCAACACGTCGTTCCGTAATCCAAATTCTAAATATAGTGCGAACCGTGTTACATATTAAAAATTAAAGGGTTAGGAATTGTATATGTTCCTAGTTTCTTAGATTTGCGATTCATTTTCTTCAATTAGTAGACCGGGAACTATTTTCGACTGAAAAGTGAAACTAAGCAGATGCGAATTTTCATAAAGTTGAACCTAGTTGATCCCTTCTGGCTGACATCTCCTATCGAGACACCCGGTACAACTTGGCGAAGGCGGCCGATGAACGAGTCACGGCAGTCGCTGGTCCTTCACACGATGATCCGTATCCGAAGTCATATAGTCCAGACCTGCACTTTCTCCGCAACGAC